CCAGCACTACACACACACAGGTCCAGCACTACACACACACACAGGTCCAGCACTACACACACACACAGGTCCAGCACTACACACATACAGGTCCAGCACTACACACACACTGGTCCAGCACTACACACATAGGTCCAGCACTACACACACACAGGTCCAGCACTACACACACAGGTCCAGCACTACACACACACAGGTCCAGCACTACACACACACTGGTCTGTGCACTCGAACGCGGCGCTACTTTATTCATGAGGTTGGATTTCACTGGCTAGCACTGTAGCTGTACCCCGGTGCCTGAATGTAATTGAATAGCGTGTGCACAATGTTCTGTGTGCTTGTACTTGAAGACGGTGGGCCTGGCGACGATATTTGCTTTCTTCTCAACGCCCGCGGCGATGAGTTTGGTTTCTGCGAGACTAGTCTGCAAGGTGCCAGCACTCAAGTCTTCACTGAATGCTCCAATGAGTAAGTACTCTATAGTCTGTTAAGTCTTCACTGAATGCTCCAGTGAGTATGTCGTCTAGTGTGTCTTGGCATGTGATCACCCCATGCTCTAATGAATAAGTAGTTTATGTGTGTCATGTGATCACCCCATGCCCCAGTGCGTAAGTACTAGTATTCTACGTGTGTCATGTGACTCATGCCATGTGATCACCCCATGCCCCAGTGCGTAAGTACTAGTACTCTATGTGTGCCATGTGACTCATGCCATGTGATCACCCCATGCCCCAGTGCGTAAGTACTAGTACTCTATGTGTGTCATGTGACTCATGTCATGTGATCACCCCATGCCCCAGTGCGTAAGTACTACAGTCTGTTTCAAAAAGATTTACAATCAGGTTTGGGTCTTAAAAAGTATGAAGATAAGGGAAATTTGGACAACAAAGTACATAGAATGGCTTGCTAGGACACGGCAAATTGTTCTGTGAAGGTTTCGGAACAATTGGACCAACCGTTAAGGAGTTAGAATTTCGGCCAGGTTTCCGGCCTTTTCCCATGGTTTACAATTTGCCCAGGAAGCCAGTATCGATTTTTTATCAAAACCCACGATTTATCCTTTCCTTTTTGGCCTTGTGGTTATGAATGCTGTCTGCTGACCATGAAGTTGTGAGTTCAAATCCCAACCTATCCTCACGTCAAACTTTTTTTCATTGTTTTGGTGATCAAGCTGGTACAAGACAAAGAAGGTGGCTGCACCAAACGACTTGTTGGAGCTCGCGCTTCCTGCCGAACTGACTGACACTTGACTGGCTCACGCCATGTGAACACACCCACAACACTGCAATGGTGTGAGTGAATTATAATGGAAGTCATCGCGCTGTAGCTTTTTGAGATTTATTTTAGTATTTCAAGATCGCCAATTTATTTGAATTTAGCAGTCAACGCCGTCTTCTATCAGCGTTCACAAGCGTTTGCTTTTCTCAAAATGTCGTCGAAGTCACACGGATAGCTTTGCCAAGTCATGGCCTTGGGAATGAGTCCGTGTCGATGTCGTTTTCGTCACACGGTGAGTAAATTGCATCGCAGCTCAAAGAAACTATTTTGGTCACAAAACGGACCCATGCAGCTCGTCAACATTTACAACACTTTCGTTTCGACATGTACTCTCTGACTCCATTATCATGTATCGATACGAGGAAGAACTCGTTTGTTGTAAACCAGACGTACGTCCATGACTGTGTCAACATGAGTGAGTTGTCATTTTTCCTGCTTTCGCGCGGAATATTTCTTCGAGTTCACAGTGAGTTTTTCCAGGCAGCGCTCGAGTGCTCATACGGTAAGACGCCAAACTCCGCGGGCGATCGCCAGGGTTGTAAATCTTTTTGAAACGGACTGTAGTACTCTATGTGTGTCATGTGACTCATGTCATGTGATCACCCCATGCTCCAGTGCGTAAGTACTAGTATTCTATGTGTGTCATGTGACTCATGTCATGTGATCACCCCATGCTCCAGTGCGTAAGTACTAGGCCTAGCCCAAATTTGCCGGCAATTCTTCCAGCAAAATATCGAATTTTCCAACGAAAAGAAATTTCTGGCAAATTCCGAGCAAAATAGCGAATTTACGGAGGATCCGGGTGTGTTTTGGCAATTTTATTCAAATTTCTTTGGTTTCATTCTTTTAGGCCAAAGTCATGCTGAATAGCTCGTGCAGGTTGTCAGTGGTACATAAATTTGAAATCATGCTACAAAATCCGTAATACTGACACCATTATAAGTTTTGCTTTCCTCATCAGAGTCACCATCCACTTTTACCAAAGTAGACGGTTCATTCGAAGCTATTTTTGCCACAAAGCAGGGGCAAAATGGAGCAAAATATCGGAAACGAAAGGCAATGCCTAGCAAAATATGGAAAGTGATCGGGCAAAATTTGCCGGCAAAATATCGAAGCGCCCCGAGCAAATTTGGGCTAGGCCTAGTAAGTACTAGTATTCTATGTGTGCCATGTGACTCATGTCATGTGATCACCCCATGCCCCAGTGCGTAAGTACTAGTATTCTATGTGTGTCATGTGACTCATGTCATGTGATCACCCCATGCCCCAGTGCGTAAGTACTAGTATTCTATGTGTGTCATGTGACTCATGTCATGTGATCATCCCATGCCCCAGTGCGTAAGTACTAGTACTCTATGTGTGTCATGTGACTCATGTCATGTGATCACCCCATGCCCCAGTACGTAAGTACTAGTAGTCTATGTGTGTCATGTGAGTCACGTCATGTGATCACCCCATGCCCCAGTGCGTAAGTACTAGTACTCTATGTGTGTCATGTGACTCATGTCATGTGATCACACCATGCCCCAGTGCGTAAGTACTAGTGTAGTACTCTATGTGTGTCATGTGACTCATGTCATGTGATCACTCCATGTTCCACTGAGTATGTCTTCTACGAGTGGGTACGTAGTCTGTCTTGTATTCACGCCATGCTCCAATCAGCGAGTTCTCTACTGTGGATTTTGTCTTGGCATGCGATGTTCCAACACCAACATCCACAACCGGGATTTGTTAAAGGCCGATGTCGTCAATTTTAAATATACCGCCAACCCTGTTATCCACAACAACCTCGGATATAACTACCAACACTATGATCAGTGTGTGTGGTCATATCATGTTCCAGCGCAAACGCCCATCCCTGGGATTTGCTGGAGGCAGACGTCATCAAGTTTTAAATATACTCACTTTGTGGTGCGTCTGATCTACTCACCTCTCACCACTTTAGTAGCTGAGTCTGTCCCTGCATCCTTGAGGGTGGTGGAATTTCGGCAGAGTCAGAAAATCAGTTCTACTGAATCCATTTTATGGAGCTGCCCCTGTGTGACCCCACTTAAAGTACAGCAATTTAGAGGCCTTCGAATGAGATGCATTTTCACTTGTATTATTGCGAATTATCATCATCCAAAATTTTGAGAATTCAGTTTACTTCAAATGTGTGTGTGTGTGTGTGTGTGCGTGCGTGCGTGCGTGTGTGTGTGTATGTGTGCATATGCGACATGTGTGTGTCTTCATGAGTGTGTGTGTGTGCGTCTAAACTCTGCATTGCTCAGCAATCTACTATTTGGCGTGTGTGTGTGTGTGTGTGTGTGTGTGTGTGTGTGTGTGTATCTGTGCCAGTTATGTTGATTAGACAGTTATCTGGTGCAAGTCTTGATCTGTCTCATTCAGATCTTGTTCGCTATCGTTGCTATAAGAGAAAATCTGTGGGTGCACATCCGGTGCATTTGCAGATTTGCGTGCTTCTCTTGCGACGGGCGTATACATGGTACATGGTATATGTGTGTCTGTGCATTCATGGATGTGTGTGTGTCCATGGGTGTGTGCATGCATTCGTGTGTGTGTGTCTGTTTGTAATGTCTGCATTGTTCAGCAATCTACTATGTGGCCGGTTAAACTGTAACAGCAGCGGTGATAACTTTGCTCGCATCCGCCAGAGCCACGTGCGCACCTTGGCCACGGTTGCCCCGAGTGGAGAAGAAGGATTTGAATGCAAGTAGGTGATACCTTAGTTACAATAACCCAGTCTGGAGTAGGATCTCAATGCAAGTAGGTGATACCTTGGTTACGATAACCCAGTCTGGAGTAGGACCCCAATGCAAGTAGGTGATACCTTGGTTACGATAACCCAGTCTGGAGTAGGATCTCAATGCAAGTAGGTGATACCTTGGTTACGATAACCCAGTCTGGAGTAGGATCTCAATGCAAGTAGGTGATACCTTGGTTATGATAACTCAGTCTGGAGTAGGATCTCAATGCAAGTAGGTGATACCTTGGTTACGATAACCCAGTCTGGAGTAGGATCTCAATGCAAGTAGGTGATACCTTGGTTACGATAACAAGTCTGGAGTAGGATCTCAATGCAAGTAGGTGATACCTTGGTTACGATAACCCAGTCTGGAGTAGGATCTCAATGCAAGTAGGTGATACCTTGGTTATGATAACTCAGTCTGGAGTAGGATCTCAATGCAAGTAGGTGATACCTTGGTTACGATAACCCAGTCTGGAGTAGGATCTCAATGCAAGTAGGTGATACCTTGGTTACGATAACCCAGTCTGGAGTAGGACCCCAATGCAAGTAGGTGATACCTTGGTTACGATAACCCAGTCTGGAGTAGGATCTCAATGCAAGTAGGTGATACCTTGGTTACGATAACCCAGTCTGGAGTAGGACCCCAATGCAAGTAGGTGATACCTTGGTTACGATAACCCAGTCTGGAGTAGGATCTCAATGCAAGTAGGTGATACCTTGGTTACGATAACAAGTCTGGAGTAGGATCTCAATGCAAGTAGGTGATACCTTGGTTACGATAACCCAGTCTGGAGTAGGATCTCAATGCAAGTAGGTGATACCTTGGTTATGATAACTCAGTCTGGAGTAGGATCTCAATGCAAGTAGGTGATACCTTGGTTACGATAACCCAGTCTGGAGTAGGATCTCAATGCAAGTAGGTGATACCTTGGTTACGATAACCCAGTCTGGAGTAGGACCCCAATGCAAGTAGGTGATACCTTGGTTACGATAACCCAGTCTGGAGTAGGATCTCAATGCAAGTAGGTGATACCTTGGTTACGATAACCCAGTCTGGAGTAGGACCCCAATGCAAGTAGGTGATACCTTGGTTACGATAACCCAGTCTGGAGTAGGATCTCAATGCAAGTAGGTGATACCTTGGTTACGATAACAAGTCTGGAGTAGGATCTCAATGCAAGTAGGTGATACCTTGGTTATGATAACTCAGTCTGGAGTAGGATCTCAATGCAAGTAGGTGATACCTTGGTTACGATAACAAGTCTGGAGTAGGATCTCAATGCAAGTAGGTGATACCTTGGTTACGATAACTCAGTCTGGAGTAGGATCTCAATGCAAGTAGGTGATACCTTGGTTACGATAACCCAGTCTGGAGTAGGATCTCAATGCAAGTAGGTGATACCTTGGTTATGATAACTCAGTCTGGAGTAGGATCTCAATGCAAGTAGGTGATACCTTGGTTATGATAACCCAGTCTGGAGTAGGATCTCAATGCAAGTAGGTGATACCTTGGTTATGATAACTCAGTCTGGAGTAGGATCTCAATGCAAGTAGGTGATACCTTGGTTACGATAACCCAGTCTGGAGTAGGATCTCAATGCAAGTAGGTGATACCTTGGTTACGATAACCCAGTCTGGAGTAGGACCCCAATGCAAGTAGGTGATACCTTGGTTACGATAACCCAGTCTGGAGTAGGATCTCAATGCAAGTAGGTGATACCTTGGTTACGATAACCCAGTCTGGAGTAGGACCCCAATGCAAGTAGGTGATACCTTGGTTACGATAACCCAGTCTGGAGTAGGATCTCAATGCAAGTAGGTGATACCTTGGTTACGATAACAAGTCTGGAGTAGGATCTCAATGCAAGTAGGTGATACCTTGGTTATGATAACTCAGTCTGGAGTAGGATCTCAATGCAAGTAGGTGATACCTTGGTTACGATAACAAGTCTGGAGTAGGATCTCAATGCAAGTAGGTGATACCTTGGTTACGATAACTCAGTCTGGAGTAGGATCTCAATGCAAGTAGGTGATACCTTGGTTACGATAACCCAGTCTGGAGTAGGATCTCAATGCAAGTAGGTGATACCTTGGTTATGATAACTCAGTCTGGAGTAGCATCTCAATGCAAGTAGGTGATACCTTGGTTACGATAACAAGTCTGGAGTAGGATCTCAATGCAAGTAGGTGATACCTTGGTTATGATAACTCAGTCTGGAGTAGGATCTCAATGCAAGTAGGTGATACCTTGGTTACGATAACCCAGTCTGGAGTAGGACCCCAATGCAAGTAGGTGATACCTTGGTTACGATAACCCAGTCTGGAGTAGGATCTCAATGCAAGTAGTTGATACCTTGGTTACGATAACAAGTCTGGAGTAGGATCTCAATGCAAGTAGGTGATACCTTGGTTATGATAACTCAGTCTGGAGTAGGATCTCAATGCAAGTAGTTGATACCTTGGTTACGATAACAAGTCTGGAGTAGGATCTCAATGCAAGTAGGTGATACCTTGGTTACGATAACTCAGTCTGGAGTAGGATCTCAATGCAAGTAGGTGATACCTTGGTTACGATAACCCAGTCTGGAGTAGGACCCCAATGCAAGTAGGTGATACCTTGGTTACGATAACCCAGTCTGGAGTAGGATCTCAATGCAAGTAGGTGATACCTTGGTTACGATAACAAGTCTGGAGTAGGATCTCAATGCAAGTAGGTGATACCTTGGTTATGATAACCCAGTCTGGAGTAGGATCTCAATGCAAGTAGGTGATACCTTGGTTACGATAACAAGTCTGGAGTAGGATCTCAATGCAAGTAGGTGATACCTTGGTTATGATAACTCAGTCTGGAGTAGGATCTCAATGCAAGTAGGTGATACCTTGGTTATGATAACCCAGTCTGGAGTAGGATCTCAATGCAAGTAGGTGATACCTTGGTTACGATAACAAGTCTGGAGTAGGATCTCAATGCAAGTAGGTGATACCTTGGTTATGATAACTCAGTCTGGAGTAGGATCTCAATGCAAGTAGGTGATACCTTGGTTATGATAACCCAGTCTGGAGTAGGATCTCAATGCAAGTAGGTGATATACGTCAGTCACAGTAACCCAGTCTGGAGAAGTGGAATCTCAACGCAAGTACACTCAAACGTCTCTTATCCGGGCACCTTGGGACCGGGCACTGCCCGTATCCCAGGTTTGCCCGTACCTCAGGATAACTCCTCTACCATGAACCATAATGAGGAGGTTTATTTGGCACATATTGCACATGTTCGGGATACAAAAATAATCCATTGAGAAAAATGAGTGGATTACACAGGTTGGCAATGACAAATAACCTCTTGCACATACGGAAAAGTGCAAACACTCGAATTCGAAACTTTTTTTGCCATGGGAACTCAAGCTGAGCGTGCCCAGTAGAGAGACGTGCCCGTATCTGAGGCATCCAGATAGGAGACGTTTGAGTGTAGGTGATCATGTGCAGAATTTCCCAATTCCAATGATACGGAATATATAACCGACGCGGAGACAACAATTTTTTCAATTTTTTTTTAAATAAAAAGGGTGAGCTGTATTATACACATATCAAGGCAAAGAGTTCCATGGGTCAATTCCAACGGTCAGTTCCAAGGGTCAGTTCCAAGGGTCGGTTCCAAGGGTGGGTTCCAAGGGTGGGTTCCAAGGGCCAGTTCCAAAGGTGAGTTCCAAGGGGGAGTTCCAAGGGTGGGTTCCAAGAACATGATGACAATCCCAAGAAAACGTTCTTGGAGCTCACCCTACACCTTCACTTTGATTTGTGTATAGAATGAGTGCGAAGATGATCCTATGTATTGCTATTCTGACAACAGCTGACCATTATCAGTGAGTTTCCTGGGAGCGAAAAATGCTAAAACGCCAAAGAGGAGGACGCACTTAAGGTTCTTGAACAGCCACATTTTGATAACCTTCACTGGAATACTTTCGAACCTTCCCTCATCCATAGCCAAACGCTTTGTCTTCGCAGAGTCAGTGACCACGTGTAGTGGAGCACTGTATTACCATAGCAGAGTTGCTATGGTGACCTCTTGCACTTCTTTCTAATACCGTCCCAGCCGTTAGTGATACTGCTGCTGTTGCTGCCATCACCTCTGTTCTTACTGGTACAGTGAAATCTATCTAGGACGACCGCTCAAAAGGACCTTCAAAACGTGGTCTTTGTAACCAGGTGGTTTCCTTGTCCAGACGTGACAGAGAATAGCACCCCTTGATCCTTGCTGTAGTGATCTTCTGGGCCAGGTGGTTGGCTTATCCGAGTGGTCGTCTTGACTGGTTTTCCTGGTGTTGTTATTGCGTCTGCCTCTGTCACAGGGGAATCAGCGTAACCGATCTGAACTTCATCGATTCGGATGCAGTCAATCCAGCCTTGGTCGATAACGGCCAGAACTGTGGTAATGGAGATGTAAGTCGGAGCTGACGCCGGCGAATTCCGGTCATGATGTGTATGCAGAGATTGCACCCAATGCATCCCACCAAGAGAATAATTATAATCTCCCGAGAATGTGCCACTCCTCATTCCACTTCTATGGGGTTTCCCTTTCCATCTTGCTTTTTAGTGAGCAGCGAAATAATGGTGTACTAGCTGTGCTAGTACTTGTTAGCAACAATCCGAACTAGCGCACACACTGCACTGCATTGCTTTGTACTGCATTCAAGACTGACGTCATGCGCTTTGTTTTGCTGCGTAATCACAAATGGCACCAGCCCATTTTGCGGAAAAGAAAAACAAATCTTGCTTGCCCTGTTGTGCTCTTCCAGACAACGGATCGTGCTTCAGCAGTGTTTCTTTTCCCACCATCCCTCCCTATCCAACTTATTCACACCATCATAATTATCATACCCACTAATCGGGTCCACTCTCACAACTGGTGTTATCTAGCTATTTGCTGCGGCTCTGCCTTGCGCTATATTACATCCATTTAGCATTGCAGCTCTACGTTGAGCTAACAGCAGCTCTACTTTGAGCTAACAGCAGCTCTACTTTGAGCTAACAGCAGCTCTACTTTGAGCTAACCGCAGCTCTACTTTGAGCTAACAGCAGCTCTACTTTGAGCTAACAGCAGCTCTACTTTGAGCTAACCGCAGCTCTACTTTGCGGAGCTAACAGCAGCTCTACTTTGAGCTAACAGCAGCTCTACCTTGAGCTAACAGCAGCTCTACTTTGAGCTAACAGCAGCTCTACTTTGAGCTAACAGCAGCTCTACTTTGAGCTAATCGCAGCTCTACTTTGAGCTAACAGCAGCTCTACTTTGAGCTAACCGCAGCTCTACTTTGAGCTAACCGCAGCTCTACTTTGAGCTAACAGCAGCTCTACTTTGAGCTAACAGCAGCTCTGCTCTGAGCTAACAGCAGCTCTGCTCTGAGCTAACACCAGCTCTACTTTGAGCTTCAAACCAGTTGTTTCGAAACCAGCACTCCTCAATCCAAAGATGCCTCTTTGTTGACTTGTTTGTGTGAGGGATGGGGCTAATGGAAAAAAGCACTCTCTGACAGAAACTCACTGCGCGTATGCAACTCACCAGTATGATGATGGCTGATATACAGATTGCGTGCACGCTATCCTTCGTTTGTACGTAGTACGAACCGAACCTGAGACACGTAATGTGAGTTTTTGCGGTTGGAGACCCTATATGCAGAGTTGCACACTCTTTCAAAGGGAGCTTATTTACTGATTACACCAAGAGTAGATAAACAAGAGTGTGCAGCTCGCGGATGGGTTGGCCCACGGCAGAATTTTTAGCCGACGTAATCTTTTCTTTGGCACACCCGCTGAGAGTCTTCTGGCAAGCTTTGCCTCGTGTACTTGGCCGGGTTTTACATTACAAGGTCGTTGCCCAGCACGTGCTCTCATACTGCTCTGCGGCAAAATAAGCGCACTTCTGAACAAGGTGACGAACCGTGAATTTGTTTTGTTTTGTTTGCATCCTAGGTATGTGTGAATGCGCAGTGCTTGCCTCAAACCAATCCAGCAACAGGGATTGAGTTCTGCGGATCTAACGGCGCCGGAGTAGAATGCAGTGGACAGGGAGTGTGTGACAACAATCAAGTGTGCCGCTGCAATCCCGGATTCACTGGAGCTATCTGTGACGCGAGTTAGTATCAGTGATGGCGCATTGCAGCCATGTGTAATGTACTGTGTGTGCGTGTATGTCAGCGATGGTGGATTGCACCCATGTCTACTGCATGCTCACATGTCAGAGAATCAAAGCATCTGTGCCGGTGCAATCGCGGATTCACTGGACCTATCTGTGGTGCGAGTTAGTATCAACCATGCCGTATTGCACCCATGTGTTCTGTACGTATGTTAGAGAACCAACGCATTTAGACTATGTAAGGGACACAGAACCGCAATACCGGAAAGCGTGCGGGTTTCAACTCCAGACTTGGAAGTTCAGCAAAACCTGCCTACGACAGCTGCTCAAGGAACGCTCAAAACGTGGTGTGTATTGCAAGGTTGCCTCCGGCTTATCCAGGGTACTGAAATAGCATCCCTTGGTCCTGCTGGCTGCAGTGGGCGTCTGGGGCAGGTGGTTGCCGTACCTTAGTGGTGCCTGGCAGACTTTACTGTGCAGTGAAATCTCAATAAGAAAACCACTGATAAGACAAGCTTTCGCTTTAGAAGGACAAGCATTCATAACTCTTAGGCTATGATCGTCTGGTCGGATCCGGATTTAGATCCAAATCTCACATCCGTCAGATCCTTCAGAATCAACCGATCACTTTTTCTCAGACCTTGGCTGTTGCCATGTTGACGAAGTAAAAAATGGCGCTGCCAGGTCACCCGAAAGGGCGAAAGTCGTACTGATCGCGCACATCGTACGAAAAGTCAACAAAAGTTGACTAGTCGTGCACCAATGAGTACAAAAATGATTTTTACCCGCCATACACGCACAAAGGTCACATTTGGATCCAATGGATCCAGTCAACCCTGCTCCCGGGGCAGGGTTGCTCGGATTCAAATCCGAAGGATCTGGATCCGGATTCGACCAATCAACCACTGCAGATCCAGTGGATCCGACGGATCTGGATCTGGATCCGACCAAAAGATCACAGCCGAATACTGTACAGGCAGAGAATGTTGTCGGTCAATAATTTCGTCCAACTCCAAAGCAAGGGAATTCCTCCAGTTGATAATTTAGTCCATGGAGTGTATTGAAAAGCTGGAGAAATCGACATTAGTCCGGGATTTATTTCAGTCCAATAGCTCCCTGGGCGAAAAAGATGAAATTAAATTCCAAATGAATATTTCTGCTTGTACAGTAGATAGATCACTGTGTATCCACTGGGTATAACATATGGATAAGGGAACTCTCGTTATTGCAAACAAATACTGTCAGTTCATTGAAGTTGTGGACATGACTGCATGTGTGCATCTACTCATGTGTGTGTGTGTGTGTGTGCACGTGTGTGTGTGTGTGTGTGTGTACGTGTGTGTGCGTGCATGCGTGCGTGCCTGCCTGTGTGTGTGTGTGTGTGTGTGTGTGTGTGTGTGTGTGTGTGTGTGTGTGTGTGCACGTGTGTCTGTGAATGCAGTGACTGACGAATGCGGGTCGATGCCATGTCAGAATGGCGGGACGTGCAATGACCTGGGACTTGTGTTTGAGTGCAACTGCCCCACCGGTACATCTGGAGATCTGTGCCAGACCAGTACGTATGGATAGCTCTAATTTGTACCTAATGCACCCTATTGTACCTTTGTTGTATATGTAAATCTGACCAGCTTGCCTGGATACTACATACTCCTAAAGTGAAACAGTTCAGCCAATGTTGAACGGTATCTGCTGGGATGACGGCTACACCATAGCTCAGTGGTTAGAGCATCACTAGCTACAAGCGAAGGTCCCTGGTTGGAATCCTGGTGGTGACAGTCAATTTTTTCTTCGGATTTTTCCCGTTTGTGTCTTTCCCTCAAACCAGTGAAAAAAGTTCAGCCTATATTAAGATGTAATTTTCGAATTGTCTAAGAGAGTACTGGTGATGTGGTGAAAATGTGGTTCAGAACTATATAAATTTGTTCAGGTGTCTGATCACATTCTTGCACTTTGAATATCAGTACCCCTATCACATCACGTTGTCAAAAGACAGACGTGTGTGTGTGTGTGCGTCGCTCAGGGGTACCTTAGACTGATTTTTCAGTTTCTCTCCTTGAACGCTGGAGAACCTCCAAGGCAAACAGCCCAGCAAAAGCGTGCTGGCAATTCATTCTAAGGACTACGGCCCTGCTAGTGAATTGTTCACAATCAGCAGTTTGGGGTGATTTAAATCCACGAATGTGTGACAGTTTTGAAATAGCAAAAATCAAATTCCTAGCAAAAGTTTCCTACTTAACAGTACAGTACTACATGTACTGTCGTGGACATGGAAATCCAGTCGATTGACCGGGGCCGGCGCCGTCAGCTCGTACAGAACGTGCGTTGCTGCATGCAGTGCACATGTTGATCCGATGCGACCAGTGCGCTGCAACGCATAAATGCATGTGTGTACCGCTTATCCACGACTGCATGGCCAGCGCCCTGGGGCCGCTAGAAGTGCGACCGGATTTCCATGTCCATGACAGCACGATGAATTGCTGCATAGTGATAATGATCTTCACATGTACTGAGTCGCTGTCCTTCATGTACATCTGTGTTGCTGCTCTGTAGTTATTGACAATTGTTTGAGCATGCCGTGTGCGAATGGTGCCACATGCACGAACGGCCTGAATACGTTCAGTTGTGAGTGTGTACCAGGGTTTACCAGCAGCAACTGCAGTGAAAGTAAGTTGTCACTGAGTCTTGCTATGTGCATTTGTATTGCCTCCATTGAAAGTCAGACTATTTTATAAGTCACCCTCTTTTCAGGTTCACGGTATTTAGTTTGTGTGACTGAGCTGATCACCATTCGGAGAAGCTCGAGTAGGTACTCAATGTGCCCAAGTACACATAATAATTAATATGATCCGAGAGGCTGTATTGCTGCGACTTAAAGTTGAGACACACTAAGTGTCGTCAGTTTAATCCGACGAACTGCGGCTCTCCTCGCCACTCCACACAACAACAAAAGACTCGTGCACACTGGGAGAGAGAGCGTTTTCTCTAACTGGCTTTCAGTAAGGGGACTGGAGAACTGCGCTCCAACAAAACGGACAAGAGAATATATTATGGGGACGTGGAGAAAAGAGGGGAAAAAATGGGGTGAGGGATACTAAAGAGGTGACTGTGCAAAGTACAACAAGGCCTGAACAGGACGGGAGACAAAGACGAACGACGGGGAAATACGACGGACACAAGACGGCAACCAGACAAATACAACGGAGACAAGACGAGAAAATGTGTATGCAACGGGGACGAGATGATAAATAATGCATACGGAGGGGACAGAAGACGGTGCAGCGGCATGTACTAAGCATTCCAAGACGGCGCAGCGGCGTGTACCACGGGTCAGCAGCATGTACGACACAGAGACACATACGCAGCCACGTGTACGACAAAAGAGACACAAGCGCAGCCACATGTACGACAAAAGAGACACAAGCGCAGCCACATGTACGACAAGAGACACCCGCGCAGCCGCATGTACGACACAGAGCTACAAGCGCGACCACATGTACAACACTATCCCCAACCAAAAAAAGACATCCACTCCTGTGGATGGAAGTGTATATAGAAAAAAACAGGAGAAGACAGACCGGAGAAGAAGACAGAAAGACCGGGGAAATGAAATGTGAAACAACATAAATAGGCGACAATAAAACACAAAAGAAGTGGGGTCACGACTGTTGAACGCATGACGAGTAGGCCAGGAGGGTTAACACCAGTCGGGAGCCCCGCAAAACTGTGCATCAATCAAATGGAACCTGCAAGCAACAGATTTTGCAGAGGACCCCGGCTGGCGAGCTGTTCGACCTGTAGTTGTCCCTTTGGATCTTGATTATTTGAACAGCACCAACCTAGTACGCCACCCACCCAACAGTCGAGACAAACAAAATTACACATGCAAGAGAAAAAATGCAGCTTACGCAAGATCGTTATAGCAATAAATGTCCACCAACGGAACAACATCGGATAAGTCCTCCAGGACAGGAGGCGTAGCCGGCCGCGGTGCAGGAGAAGAGGGTGCGGATAGTGCTGACAGTGAATCAGGTGACATGCATGGGGCTGTGTGCTGTGCTGCCCGGCGGACTCTGCGGCGCTGTCGCGAGCGGCGAGACCGACGGCGCACACGGCGAAGCAACGGGAGTGCTGGAGGTGCCGGTGGACAGAGCGGGGGAGGCAACGGAGCAACCGGTAGAGAGCACTCCGACCCCGTCATGGCAAAATAGACAGACGTCGGGGCCGCGGCGGCGCGATAACTAGAACGAGCAAAAAAAATGACAAAAAACAACCGAAACAACTGGAGCACGCAGCCTCAAGCAATCACCACCCCTTCCACGGAAGCTGACCCTGTCCTGCCTCTAAGGCGACGTAACCCCCAGGCGACAACACACATGAACGTCTGGGTCGGGGTGTACCAGGCCGGGGCGGGGACGGAGGGGAACCCGGAGGAGACGGGGGCGTACCCGGAGGGGAACCCGGGGGTGAAGGAGGAGGGGTGGGGACCGAACCCGGGGGCTGAACCAGAACGGGAGCCGGAGCCACAGGGTGGGGTGCACCAAACGGGGCAGGCAAAAACATGGCTGGACCCCCCATAGATGGCATCGCCGTAATTTCAGGCGGAGACACTCCCTGCTGTACCCCTGGGGGAACCACTACCTTACCGTGGACAGCCCGTAACCGATCGGTGTGTACCGTTAAATGCTTAGCATGGCGGGCCGAAGGAGGGGGTCCCACCCGCACAATGGAACACACCACGCCCTTAATTACTTCTACCTGCCATGGCCCAGTCCAGGGGCGAAATAGCTTAGGGCTGGCACCCGGGGGCGGAACTGCATGGAGCCAGACATAGTCACCTGGTTGAAAACTGGGGGATTTCACCCGCCTATCATAAGTAGATTTAGCCACCCGATGTGCCACTCCCAGGCGATCCCGGACTACACCAAACGCCCTAGCCAAAGATGACCGCAAATTTGTGATATATGCGGGCAGAGGCGTAACTTGAGGGACCCCCGGGGCAGGGAGAAAAAGATCAAGGGGTAAACGGGCCTCCCTCCCAAATAGCACAAAATGAGGGGTGAATCCCGTAGCACGGTGGACACCCGTATTGTAAGCAAATTGTACCAGAGGAAGGTGGCGGTCCCAGGATGTTTGGTCGTCCGCGACATAGGCCCGGAGGGCCACCTGAATCGTGCGGTTTGCCCTCTCGACAAGACCATCTGACTGTGGCCGGTAAGGGGTGGTGCGGGACTTACAAACCCCCAACAATTTACATAAAGAGGAGATTAGGCGGCTCTCAAAATTAGGGCCCTGGTCCGAATGTAATTGGCAGGGGACTCCAAACTTCAAAAATACCCGGTCAATCAAACGGTCTGCTACGGTCTCGGCCTTCATATCCGGGAGGGGAATAATTTCTACCCACTTAGAAAAATAGTCTGCTACCACTAACACATACTTATTACCACGAGCCGTGAGGGGAAGGGGTCCCATGATGTCCATCGCCATAACTTCAAATGGGGCACCTACGCAAATAGTACCAAGCGGGGCTTTCACAGCCCTGGGCGGATCTTTACCGCGCTCGCAAGTCGTGCAGCTTTTGCAATAGAGGGCCACATCCACGGACATCCCCGGCCAATATGCCACCGATCTTAAACGGGCTAATGTACGATCCTGGCCAAAATGGCCAGAAGTGCGGCCGGCGTGCGCCTCATTTAGAAATTTGGTGTGTAAAACTGCCGGAACTACTAATTGCCGTGCTAGCGATGGCAGTGTTTCGCGGTAGAGAACTCCCTCGGTCAGAGCTAGGTTCTCAGTCTGTGACATGAGGGCGCGCACGACGGGGCTGTCACCATCCTGAATGGGCTGAGCGGCCGCCAGCCGATCTACAACTACATGGATATCCGCATCCGCCTGTTGTGCCTGAAGAATTTCGGAGACATCTGGCGTAGAAAAACTAACTGCATTTACGGACGGCTCCGCTTCGAACTGGCGACTCAAACCGTCGGCGTTTCCATGTTGCAACCCGGGGCGATGCTGTACAGTGAAATGAAACTCAGCCAGCGTGCTCAGCCATCGCGCAGTCTGTCCTGTTGGATTTTTAAAATTCATTAGCCATCTCAGGCTACCATGATCTGTGCGCAACAAAAATGGCCGTAACAGAATGTATGGTCGAAAAGTGCGGCACGCCCAAACTACCGCCAGCAACTCCAATTTGGTGATGGTATAGTTCTTTTCCGCCGCCGAACACGACCGACTTATGTACGCTATGGGGCGCTCCAGGCCATCATTAGTCACCTGTGACAGTACCGCACCTAGGCCTGAAACGCAGGCATCCGTATCCACAATAAATGGGCGCGAAAAGTCTGGAAAGGCCAAAATGGGTGCTGAACTAAACGCTGTGCACAACTTTTTGAACGCTAACTGATGAGCCTCTGCCCAGACAAATGGAGTCTCTTTTCGTAACAGGTCATGCAGTGGATGGGCCACCGACGCAAAATGCGGAATAAACCGTCGATAGTATGACGCAAATCCGAGAAATGATTGTAGAGACTTAAGAGACGCTGGCTGCTTCCATTCCTGTACCGCTTTAACTTTTCCCGGGTCCGTGGAAATCCCCTTAGCCGAGACTACATGCCCTAAGAAATGGACCTCGGCCAGCAGCAAATGGCACTTTCTAGGTTTTATCTTAAGCTTCGCTCGTCGTAATGCAGTTAGCACAGCCTCTAAACGGCGCAAGTGCTCCGCGAATGTGCGAGAAAACACAATAACATCATCGAGATACACTAGACAGTAGAGGGGGGAAAGGCCCCGCAGCACGGCATGCATCATCCGTTGGAACGTGGCAGGAGCATTGCAGAGGCCAAAGGGCATGCGGCGGAATTCAAATAGCCCCTGTGGAGTGATGAACGCCGTTTTCTGCTGATCCTTCCCCTCCACTGGCACCTGCCAGTAACCCGACTGTAGGTCTAACGTGGAAAAATACTGTGCCCCACCCAGCCTATCCAGGGTATCGTCAATCCTAGGCAAGGGGTACGAATCCTTGTGCGTGGCATCATTTAATTTACGGTAGTCGACACAGAACCTAATTGAACCATCTGGTTTTTGTACCAATACAATCGGACTAGCCCACGGGGACACGCTAGGGGATATTATACCCTTGTCTAACATTTTCTCGACCTCTTCGGCCACAATCTTGACCCTGGGAGGGGGGAGGCGTCTCGGCCCCTGACGAATTGGGCGTGTAGCGCCGGTGTCGATGCAATGAGTCAAGAGGGGGGTCTCTCCCACATCACAATCATCTACGGCTATGACATCATTAAAACTGTTCAGTAAACTGACCAGAGCTTGGCGTTGTTCCGCAGTGCCAGCAAACCGAGAGAGATCAAAGCGATCCGCTGGTGTTGAATCGGACGTCGCTGACTGCACGCCCACTGCCACACCCTCGTCTGTTGAGACATCCGGCCGAGGGTCCTCCACCGGTAGGAACTGCCCTAGATGCATACCACGCTCCAACCACACCGGCACATCAGACACATTGGTTACACACAAGGGGACACTACCCGAAGGAGATACAGCGCACACAGCACGGGGTAGGGCATACCCCAAATCGGAATCAACAACAGCTTCTACCAGACCAATCATCTCGGGAGGGGCGTTGACTGCGCCCCGCAACAGCAATTGTGACCATGGGGGAATTTCCACAGCAGACACTAAGGAGATGGAGTAGCCCAGTTCCGGCGGAGCAGCAGGGGGGCAGACCCTGGGAGGGACCACCGGGGTAGGGGAATACACAGGCCACGTGATGCCACCCCGAACAATAAACGCAATGATAAAACTAAAAGCTAACGCGAGTTTGCACACTAATATCAGCCGAGCTGAACCACAAACACTTGCTATTAAAAGCAACAGGGTCGAAAACCCAAACCACAACGTGCTCTGCACGTCACCGCCGAACCTTGCGGCATGAACCGGAACTACATCCCCCCGTCCCCTAGACAATGGGACGGTGTTACCTGCTAACTTTAAACGGGGTGACCCATCCAGGTGTAGCGAAAACCCATGGGCTGCCAAAATGTCGGCACCCAACAAACACTCCTCAGTTAACCCCGCGACAGCTAAAACACGGGCGGAAAACGAAATATTGCCAAACTTAAATGTCAGGGGTAAACAGCCCTTCATGTCAAGGGTACCCCCGCCTGCAGTGTACAGTGCCGACACACCCAACTCTGAAGCGGGTCGTAATAAATGCTCCGCATGCAATTTCTGCACTACCGCAAAATTCACCAAGGTAATGGCCGCACCCGTGTCGACCAGACATGATACCACCGAGTTACACACATCAGTACTCAACTTACCGGGCGCGAAGAGACTGGTGCCAGCACGGTGGATGTAGAAGGGTACCGCATCGGTGACGGCCGTGACAGCACCCACCGGGAGGGCATCCGAGGACTCGACCGGAATAGACGGAGGGGAGGGCAGTGGAGCGGCAGGTGGAGTGCAGAGGTGGGCCTCCGCCGGAGAATGCTCGAAGGCACATATGTCACACACATCACACGCATCAGACACAGAGGCAGCATTAGCAGGACATCCTACATCTGGGACCGTAACAATACCACCCTCAGGCGCCGGGGACAACAGGTCCGGACACTCAGGCGCAGCCGAAGCTGCCAAATTCTCGGTTTCCCCCAAAGACAAAGGGAGGAAAGGGTCACACAATTCCATGGTATCATCGGTAAAGATCGGCAAAGCCACAGCAATACACTCCTCATCACATTCATCAGTTGGCTGTGGTTCCATGGTCGAGGTGGCAGGAAGACCCGCACCAGCCGCCTCGCCTAGTTTAAATCCTGTTGAGGGTGGGGGAGCCTACCCGACCCCTGTTGTGGCTTTTCGGGCGCCTGGCGCTTAGTGGAAAACGGTTGTCGGCGGCCTTGCGGCTGCGGCCGCCACTGCCGGCACTCGGCCCTAATATGCCCTAACTTCCCGCATTCATAACAACGGGGACCCTTACCCCTCTGGTAGGACCCCGGATCACCCCTGGTTTCACACAAAGTCTCCAGGAGACGGGTCTGGGTGGCGCACAATTTCTCGAGACTATGGAGCCGAGACTCTACCTCAGGTGCCGCGGCCGCTACGAAGACCGGCTCGCTAGCGGGGTGAAGCCTATCCTGAGTTTCCAGAACTACCGCTTTCTGGACCGCTTTCAGTAAGGTTGTTGGTTCGTGGTCCCCCACCCGTCGTCGCATTTCTGGGTCTAATGCATCAAGAAAAGCCCGGACTGAAACCGTGTCCGCAATGGTGGAGGGGGCCCCAGGGTAGGCTTTTGCCACTAAGACTTGGATGGCGTCCCCGAGTTCCGTTAGGGTTTCGCCCACCCGCCGTTTGCGAGCTTGGAGCTCGGTTTGGCGTAACAGTTCCTTCCCCTGGTCCCCAAACCTAGCCTGCAATGCCTGCTCAATGGTTCCTCTATCTCCGCGTTCGGTTGCGGTCAGGGACTGCAGCATCAAAGCAGCACTGCCGGTGAGGCTTTTACACAGGATAACCCGGGCCATTAGCTCGAGTTTTTGCCGTGACTCTGCATCCACTGTATCGTTTGGTTGCGCCACTGGAACATACCCATTAGCTTCTAGGCATAGCACAAAGTCGTTTAGGAAGGACTGCAGGTCCTCCCTTGATGAGCCCGCAAATGGCTTGGGCATGAGCCACTTGCCCGCGCCCTCAACAGTGACCTTACTCTGGGCTGGCTGAGACATAATGACTATACCAGTACGAGACCCTGATCAGGTGGTGTTACGAAACAGTAATTTTTTTTTTTTTTTCAAAGTGTCAAACTATTTTTTTTTTTTTTTTTTCAAAAAAAATGTCTAACAACACGGCATTCTGCAGGGCAAGTAGTTACAACGACACAAGATTTACGAAAGACGGATTGCACTGTTAAACCTACTGGCTGGAGCTACTGGAAATTAGGCCTATAAAATTACGGTACATACGCTCAATGAACTATCGAAGGGACCACGGACCTAAGCCGGGACCCAATACCATGCACGCTTGGACAAGAAACGACACACAAAGCAAACTAGCAAGACCGGGTGCTCACCTGAGGAGGCGCGCCAATGCGGGGCCTGGTCGTTCGTAGTACGTCATCGATACGGAGGTACGGCGAGGAGAAGAAGAATACGAGCTGACGGCGACGCGTCGACGAGCTTCAGGGTCGTGGATTCGATTTGTTGGGCGCCAAATGTCGTCAGTTTAATCCGACGAACTGCGGCTCTCCTCGCCACTCCACACAACAACAAAAGACTCGTGCACACTGGGAGAGAGAGCGTTTTCTCTAACTGGCTTTCAGTAAGGGGACTGGAGAACTGCGCCCCAACAAAACGGACAAGAGAATATATTATGGGGACGTGGAGAAAAGAGGGGAAAAAATGGGGTGAGGGATACTAAAGAGGTGCCTGTGCAAAGTACAACAAGGCCTGAACAGGACGGGAGACAAAGACGAACGACGGGGAAATACGACGGACACAAGACGGCAACCAGACAAATACAACGGAGACAAGACGAGAAAATGTGTATGCAACGGGGACGAGATGATAAATAATGCATACGGAGGGGACAGAAGACGGTGCAGCGGCATGTACTAAGCATTCCAAGACGGCGCAGCGGCGTGTACCACGGGTCAGCAGCATGTACGACACAGAGACACATACGCAGCCACGTGTACGACAAAAGAGACACAAGCGCAGCCACATGTACGACAAAAGAGACACAAGCGCAGCCACATGTACGACAAGAGACACCCGCGCAGCCGCATGTACGACACAGAGCTACAAGCGCGACCACATGTACAACACTAAGTCTGATGACGTGATTATCTCTTAGTCCATGCAACGTTGTGTCACAGCATGAGCAAAACCTGGTTACGTCATACATCTCGATGAACACTTGCTCGAGGCTGGGTTATAATTATATTATGCATAGACACATGCAGATTCTCCGATGGAAGATCTCTTCAGGATTTCTGTAGTTTCATCACTCTGTGCAAGGAAGACGGAGCCATTCCATGGTTAGCGCAAACCTGAAGACAGTTCCATTTGTATTTGAATATTTCTGTGACTGCCCCAATTCTGGACAAATGAATACTTCAAGGAAGAAAGGAACAGTCTATCAACACGGCTTTCCACCATAAGTGGTGAATTCTGCTGGCTATTTATTCTGGTGGAAGTTGACTATCCCACCCCTTCATTCGGGACTCCGTAATAATCGAGTTTGGTACTAGAACATCTGTCTCTGATGGATGCCCTCAAACTGTCTTGATCATTCTCTCTCTCTCTCTCTCTCTCTCTCTCTCTCTCTCTCTCTCTCTCTCTCTCTCTCTCTCTCTCTCTCCTACTGTCTATTCCATACTTCAGTAATTGATAACTGCATGGACATGCCATGTGAAAATGGAGCAACGTGCGTGAACGCCATCAACATGTTCACGTGTAACTGTGCCGCTGGATTCACCGGTGACACATGCCAGACAAGTGAGTAGTAGGTCATGTGATTAGTCAGTCATGAAATCAGTCAGTCATGTGATCAGTCAGGCATGTGATCAGTCAGTCATGTGATCAGTCAGTCATGTGATCAGTCAGTCATGTGATCAGTCAGTCATGTGATTAGTCAGTCATGTGATCAGTCAGTCATGTGATCAGTCAGTCATGTGATCAGTCAGTCATGTGATCACTCAGTCAAGTGATCACTCAGTCATGCGGTATTTGCCGGGTTGGAAGGTGGGATCACTCAGTCATACGATCTGTCAGTCATGTGATCAATCAGTCATGTGATTAGTCAGTCAGTCATGTGACCAATCTGTCATGTGACACTTTCTACAGCACTCACTACTGTTCTATGTAACTGGTGCAGAGCTGAGCTCCACTGATCAGTGATGCACAAACCTGAAGACGGTGTGTAGTGCAAGACAAAGCCCCCCCCCCCCAGTACCCCAAAGACTGTTCGGGTTTTGCGGTTTTTACAGAAGTCTTAATCCCTTGTTACTATAATGATTTTGCCTGTTCGCACTGGAGTAAGTCAACGTGATGTTGAGCCCACAGCTCAACTTACGCTACCTCTCATATTTTACAATCTTCAAATCTACTTCAACAAGGTAGACAGGTTACCGGTCCATAATACAGGTCTACCCTCATCAGTACGACATTGGGTACAAGACAAACCTCATTAGTAGACAACAATCAAAAGTCCCCTGACGCCTGAAACACGTACATTCACGTCTGGATAATAGATAATACTCGCTATAAGACGAAACGATGTGTAACCCCCCCCCCCCCCCACTGACACCACTCCCACAGCGTGACAGCTATCCTGTCTAATGTCGGTGATGAACGGCTGCCAGTGCGGGGCAAACAGGGAACAGCCACACGTTAGTCGAGCTGCAGGAGAATACTGCCCTGGTATAGAGAAGGCGCTAGCGACTGGACAGCATACTGGGCTGTGAGCGGTTCCGGGACATTCATGTGAAGCTGCTTCTCGGCAGATGTCCATCAGCCGCCTGTGGTGACATTGGCACAATATGCACCCGGGTTCTCGTACCCAGTGTATTCTATTGTGTTGTGTTTATATTTGTGTATGTGTCTTTGTATTTGTCTGTTTCTGTGTCTGTGTCTGTCTCTGTCTCTGTGTGTTTGTGTCTGTATCTGTGTCTCTGTGTTCGTGTCTTCTGTTGTGTTTGTGTACGTGTCTGTGTCTATGTGTCTGTGCACACACATGCACTGATGACCAGTGATCGACGAGTGTGACTCGTCACCGTGCCAGAACGGCGGGACATGCACGGATCTGCTGGCTGGGTTCCAGTGTGCCTGTGTACCTGGTGCATCTGGAGACATGTGTGAATCCAGTAAGTGAAATGAAGACCGCATAGGTATAGTACACATGCCACCTTGGGCACCATGTAAGAAGACCTTAGGGTCTGTTGAGAATGCCCATGTAAGATAATATAATACTGTCGTGGACATGGAAATCCAGTCAATTGACCGGGGCCGGCGCCCTCAACGCGTACAGAACGCTGCGTGCACTGCACATGTTGATCTGATGCGACCAGCGAGCTGCAATGTCTATGTGTACCGCTTATCCACGGCTGCATGGCCAGCGCCCTGGGGCTGCTAGACGTGTGACCGGAACCCAATGTCCACGACAGTACAATACAAAAATATATGCCGCATGACAGCTAATGGATTGTTCCCATCCCACTTCTTAGCTTCTATCAGTACTTGGTGTGACTAGCTGCACAACAGCTAACAGATTGTTTCCATGATGGCGACGGTTTGCTTCCACTTTCTGCATTGTAGTGTGCAAAGCTGGCAAGCTTTCTTACGAGGTGTACTGGAATTGGTAGAAGAATTGTGATGTTGCATGGTATGCTGGCCTAGAAATCCAATCTTCGTCAAAACCCAAGTTCAGCATAGGGGTAATTCAACCTGTATACGATCTTTTGCCCAGCTTTCTCTGCATTTGGTGAAATGATACAATGCTATTGCTCTACAAGATCTCCCTTCTTTTGGTGTCCATGCGCATGCATGTGTGTGCATGTGTGTGCATGTGTGTGCATGTGTGTGCATGTGTGTGCATGTGTGTGCATGTGCCCTATCTGTACACGTATATGTGTGTATGTATCTCCTCTATGTGTGTGTGTGTGTGTATGTGTGTGTGTGTGTGTGTGTGTATGTGTGTGTGTGTGTGTGTATGTGTGTGTGTGTGTGTGTGTGTATGTGTGTGTGTGTGTGTGTGTGTGTGTGTGTGTGTGTGTGTGTGTGCGTGTGTGCGTGCGTGCGTGTGTGTGTGTGTGTGTGCGTGCGTGCGTGCGTGTGTGCGTGCGTGCGTGCGTGCGTGCGTGTGTTGACGTGTAGTTATTGACAACTGTGCGAGTACTCCGTGTGAGAATGGCGCTACATGCAACAACGGCTTGAACAGCTTCACTTGCATCTGTGTAGCTGGTTTCACCGGATTGAACTGTTCGGACAGTATGTACATAGCTCTATGGTGACTGGGTTGAAGGGGCTGTGTTATTGTGGGTTACTTGTCTTTGGGGTGAAATCACGTGTGTGAAAATTTTTCTTTGAAGGCAGTTGTCATGACAATAGGGAAATTGTTTTCTTTGTTGCGATCACTTAAAGGGGAAGTTAAGGCAAAAATTAAAATTTCACCAGTTGTAGTCTTCGGGGTGCTGAGTCGAATGGTCTTGGTCCGAGGAAGCTGAGACGCTCCCTTCCTACTTGAATCCCAATCGAACTCGCGCACTTCCACCGAAACTGGGTGACTGCGCCCTACGAGATGGGGATTTGTATGCAAAATGTCACTAAAAGCGCCATTTCGTTCTTATAAAAGCACGGATGACCGCGATTGGCCCATATGTTGTACTCTTTTGGACGCTGAGTCGACTGGTTTTGGTCCGAAAAGTCTGCGATGCAGCGTTCCTCCTTTATTCCCAATCGAACATGGTTGAACAAGTGGTCACATGCTCCTGGGTGCCCAAATCACCTGGTCACCACGCCAGCAGGTGACAACTTTCACACCAAGGTTCAACTCGAGTTCAACTCGAGTGACAGGACTGCACCCAAAAAAGGTCAAACAGGCTAGTAAGTTGTACCCTGCAGGCACGGTGACCAGGTGACTGGCGTACGCAGGAGCACGTGACCGCTTGTTCAACCATGTTCGATTGGGAATAAAGGCGGAACGCTGCATCGCAGCCTTTTCGGACCAAAACCAGTCGACTCAGCGTCCAAAAGACTACAACATATGGGCCAATCGCGGTCATCCGTGCTTTTATAAGAACGAAATGGCGCTTTTAGTGACATTTTGCATACAAATCCCCATCTCGTAGGGCGCAGTCACCCAGTTTCGGTGGAAGTGCGCGAGTTCGATTGGGATTCAAGTAGGAAGGGAGCGTCTCAGCTTTCTCGGACCAAGACCATTCGACTCAGCACCCCGAAGACTACAACTGGTGAAATTTTAATTTTTGCCTTAACTTCCCCTTTAAAGGTTCTGTGCTGTAAGGTTTCAATACCCTGCAGTTCTAATGCTGGTAGGGTTTAGATTTCTATGATACTAAGCATACATGGGGTAGTGGGTTATCAATATTGTTCATGCACTACTGAATTATGATGTCATGGGGATTATTTGATGATGTCATGCCATTTTGATTGATGATGTCATCATTATTGGTTGGCGTAGTGCAACACTCTTTCATTATGTCATGCAGCCGGTATGATGTTGCAATGCAGGACGGTTGTGTAGAACTCATGGACATGCCTGATAAGATCTCATCATTTACCAGCGATCTGCCTTGTTTTTCCGTATCCATACAGTTATTGACAATTGCGCATCCACGCCGTGTAATAATGATGGCTCGTGTATGAACGGAATCAACACGTTCACGTGTAACTGCGTGGCTGGGTTCACCGGTGACACTTGTCAATCAGGTAAGGAGAACATGTGCATTAAAGGCATTTTCTAACCGGATGGGCGAGTAGTCCTGTTGTCTAAAATGCTATGCTTCATTATCAGATTTCTAGTGTAGTTGCTTATTGCATGGTCACTATCATTGGTAGTTATTTGCTACGTGTGACAGATGCACGCACAGCCATGAGACTAAATTGGAGATTTAGGCTGCATTCACACACGGTACAAAAATTGGCGTTTACATGACCGTACAAGCCACTTGCAATGCAACACCTGTGCATTCACACAGTCAAATGCAGTGCATGCCAAACCCGTAAAAAGTGACCCGCGTGACCCATGGCGAAGAGCGGGAATTTTGATTTCTGCATGACCTGAGCGCACCGGTACCGTGCAGCACTTGGCTCAACATTTCAAAAATACTATTTCTTGGTCCGCTAGTAGTAGTATGATCTCGGTGGAACGCCTCCACAACTGGTGTATTCCTCTGGGTGTGCTGGATTTGTGAACGATTGCGGCCGTGTTATCATTGCCTGATCACCTCCGGATGGCTGCTTTGCGCACAGATTCAGCTCATCTGCAATCCTCTTCTCGGCAACAGCTCTTTTCATCATAGTTTCACTTTTCTCGCTTGTATTTTCCCCATAGTTCTATCAGCCGTAGCTCCACCTCGGCAGAAAAGACAACTCGAGGCATTGTACCACCGGACTCTACAAAAACTAACAAAAACTCTGCGCACTCGACACACCAAACCACTCGTTTCGACTTGCCTGAAAACAAAAAGCCGAAATCCGCTTTCAAAGCCGCCTTCAAAGCCGCTCCGGGATGGCTTTGAACGTTGATGTGATTTTTCACTTTTCGCGCATGTTTCCATGCCAACTTCAAAGAACATGACGCTTGTATGTGGTTTTGTACCGTGTGTGAATGCAGCCTAAGCGTTGTTAGCTACACACTGTAATCTGTTCTTCTGTGTGTTTGTGGTGGTATCATGTTCCCCTGTGCAGTTATTGATAACTGTGCCAGCATGCCCTGTCAGAATGGAGCAACATGTACTAATGGTATCAACACATTTGCATGTGACTGTGCTCCTGGGTTCACTGGAATGAACTGCTCAGAAGGTAGGGCCATGTTGTCTTTGGCTCTCTCTGCCTACTTCTGGCTATCTCTCCTCCCCCCCCCCCTTCTCTCTCTCTCTCTCTCTCTCTCTCTCTCTCTCTCTCTCTCTCTCTCTATTGCAATCAAACGACTGTTGTAGACATTGTAATCCGGATGAATAACCGGGGTCCGTGCCCCTAGTGCCTTAGCAAGTTGTTGAATGGTGCAATTTTCAGCACAAGCTGCTATGGCTATGGCTTCTGCAGTAGCATCGCTATCATGAGCAATGGGCGTCAAATGGTCAAATGGTGTGTGTGTGTGTGTGTGTGTGTGTGTGTGTGTGTGCGCGCGTGTGTGAAAAATGAAAAATGAAAATAGGGATTCACTGGCCAAAAAAAGCCACTTCAATCAGCTGTGTGGTGGATACCAGGCTAAAATTAGTGGCGGTCAATTTATCAGCCTTGCAAGCTGTTGAATGGTGTCATCCCAGCACAAGTTGCTATGTGTAACATAGCTGTTCGCTATCATCGCTTCAGCGATGGGCAGGTCTGAGGTCAGAGGTGTGTGCCTGTGCGTGTGGGTACGTGTGTGTACGTGTGTGTACATGTGCATGTGTACGTGTGTATGTATGGGCACGCATGTGTGTGCCTGCATGTATGTACGTGTGTGTATGTTTGTGTGTGTGTTCCCCTGTGCAGTCATCGATAACTGTGCCGACATGCCCTGTCAGAACGGAGCAACGTGTACAAACGGTATCAACACCTTTACATGTGACTGTGCACCCGGTTTTACGGGAGCAGAATGCCAGACAGGTGAGCAGGTGTAGATTATGTTAACGTGCACCATCGACTATCCAAACACCTCGTATACTCCAGAAACCCTTTCACATTCACCTAAGCTAGTGGTCTCTTTGTTGCAAACTCTATAGTTATCTCAACCCTGATGATGATGATCCTGGTTTATGTTCCTCAATAATTATGGCTCCTGGTCAACAAATATGGCTGAGATAATTGTAGAGGTTGCCCCAAGAAACCACTTGCTTTGGTGATGTGTTTTGAAGTGGCTGCAATGGAGCTGAAATGTTTTACCAATGATCCAAAGACCTTTGTATCCAAGCACCAATTTACGTGTGATTGTGCGCATGACTTCACGCTAGCAGAGTACCAACAGGATGAGAATTCCGATAAGATATAACCCGGTCAAAAACTGGAAGGTATATCCCCGGTACTTTTTCTCCAAACCCACTTCAGTCTGGATCAAAAGCTCATTGTGCAATGACATCAAGTGTACATGTACCATAAACACCCCACATAGCCACCTGGGCATGGTCGTGTGTGTGGGAGGGGAGGGGGGGGGGGGAGGGGGAGGGGGTGTTGAACAGTGCATTGCTGATCCCAGCGTGCTCACATGCATTACTCATACCTTCCATATTTGGCAATGCGCAATGGGCTTATACACCCGTGCTCCGAGCAATGTACGTACTAAGCAAGGTTATGCCTTGTTAGAGTACGTATTAGGCAAGATTATGTAAGATTAGAGTTTGTACTAAGCAAGAGTTTGTATTATCAGAGTTTGTACTAAGCAAGATTATGCCTTGTTAGAGTACGTATTTAAAAGCAAGATTATGTATTATTAGAATACATACTTGGCAAGATTATGCATGATCAGAGTTTGTACTAAGCAAGAGTTTGTATTATCAGAGTTTGTACTAAGCAAGATTCTGTCTTATCAGAGTATGTGCTAAGTACGTTCCACGGTACTTTTTTCTGTTTTGTCGTGTTTACCTTGCAGACATTGTATTCTGCATTGGCGATCCTTGCCTGAATGGTGCGACATGTGTGGAGCAGCTGACTCAATTTGTGTGCACCTGTGCACCGGGATTTACAGGCCCCATGTGTCAAACCGGTTAGTACAGTTATGTTGGCTGCTGCTGCTGCTGCTGCTGCTGCTACTACTGCTGCTACTGCTGCTGCTACTGCTACTGCTACTGCTACTGCTACTGCTACTGCTGCTGCTGCTACTGCTACTGCTGCTGCTGCTGCTGCTGCTGCTGCTGCTGCTGCTGCTGCTGCTGCTGCTGCTGCTGCTGCTGCTGCTGCTGCTGCTGCTGCTGCTGCTGCTGCTGCTGCTGCTGCTGCTGGTCACCAGCAGCAGCAGCAGCAGCAGCAGCGGTGGTGTGTTTGCTGCAGTTGTTGTTGTTGTTGTTGGTGGTGGTGGTGGTGGTGGAGTTGCTGTTTCTACTGCGACTGATGTAGCTGTTACTGTAACGTTCCAGAAGACAATCGTGTTGTTCTTCCATTGCACCATGCATGGTACAAACCCACTGGTAGTTTCTGTTTTGTTCTTGGAAGCAGCCTGGCTGCAGCCTGGCTAAAGACTTCACGCTCGGGGCTGATTTAAAAATTGGATTTCAGAACTTAATTTGGCCAAAAAATCCCCACTTGCAAATGCCCGAGTCCTCTAGCTGTTTGCCTGGATGGACTGAATGCCAATTTCGGAATGGTTGTCATGGTATTGTTATAATACAGGCGCGTAGCACCGACGTTGGCGGTGGTCCTGCCAGGCTAGGGGGGGGGGGGGGGTCCGGGAAATTAGGGTACAAAATCCTGCATTCTGGGCACTTTTGGCATTGTTTTACTATGGTGGTCGTGGTCGGGCGAAAAAGTGGTCCGGCCAAAGCCGGACCGGCCGGAGCGGCTGCTACGCCCCTGAAATACCTGTGCAAATTTTGCTTGAGCTGGCCGAAAAACAACTGGCCTCCCCTTTGCCTTTTCCACCGTCTAATGTTGCCGGGAAGAAGTTCAGATACAAGTACAACCAATTGCCCTATACGGCAGTATAGGCACGAATAGAAGCCCCGGGGCTCTATTTTTCCAGAAGACTCATTGAGGGGGTTATATTTGAGAGAGTGCTTTATTCAAGAGGGGGCTTTATTTTATAATAGAAGCGTAAATTGTTTCACACTATTCATGCTGATCAATACATGCAGTGAGTACACTCGATCGCTGTACGGCAAGTACCCTTGACTGCAACTTATGTGCAGTAAGTAGTACACCATGTTGCATGTGCATCACCATACACGGTTCATGTACTGCACTACATCATCGGGACGGACTTTGCGCGTTTAATTATGGCCCCGAGCTTATATATGAGACGGGGCATTATTATTTCGATTCCCTCTGACAAACGGGCTCTATTTGAGAGGGGGCTCTATTCAAAGGGGGGCTTGTATTTGAGCGTGTACGGTATCTTGATGGTAACAACCAAAACAAGATAATAAAAAGATGCCAAAGCATTGGGGTGCCAGTTTTGGGTAAATTCATCGTGATGCTAGACAAAACACAAATGCTGATTTGACTGCACTTTGTGCTCACCTGTGTACTCTGATTTACTAGACATCAACGAATGTGACAGTAATCCATGCCAGAATGCCGCCACTTGTTTTGACATGGTGGGAACGTTCGTGTGTCAGTGTCCAATCGGATTTACCGGCATGCAATGCGAATCGGGTGAGTGGAGCTCTTTCATTTCCACATCTCTCTTGTTCTCCCTCTACCCCGCCTCTCTCTCTCCCATTAATCTCTCTCTCTTTTTCTCTCTCTCACTCACTCACTCTCACTCATGCTCTCTCTCTCTCTCTCTTTCTTTCTTTTTGCTTTTATATCGCTCTCCTTGACCAAATAGCACTTTTGAATATGTAGTTGACTCTATCTTTGAGTCTACAGTTTTTTGCAAAAATTGAATACAATTTGTGCACATACCCTGGTAGTCAAAAATGGTTGTTTTCTATCTATCTCTATCTGTTCTCTCTCTCTCTCTCTCTCTCTCTCTCTCTGCCACTCTCTCCTCTCTCTCTCTCTCTCTCTCTCTCTCTCTCTCTCTCTCTCTCTCTCTCTTTCTCTCTCTCTCTCTACCACTCTCTCTCTACCACTCTCTCCTCTCTCTCTCTCTCTCTCTCTCTCTACCACTCTCTCCTCTCTCTCTCTCTCTCTCTCTCTCTCTCTCTCTCTCTCTCTCTCTCTCTCTTCTCTCTCTCTCTCTTTCTCTGTCTCTCTCTGTCTCTCTCCCCTCTCTTGTTATCTACAGAGATTGTGATATGCAACAGTCAGCCATGTCTCAATAATGGATCATGCATTGAAGGCAGTGACTCATTCATGTGCAAATGTCCCCCTGGTTTCAACGGAACAACTTGTCAAATCGGTGAGTTGTGAAAACCGCTATTTCTTACCCAGCACTTGTTGCCTGGTCTTCAACCCTAGATCCCCACGTACCAGTGTGCAGGAAATATGTGTGTGGGGGGGGGGGGGTCAACCTTTATTCTTGGATGCTAAAACGAGTGCTAGGTGCTGGACGGAGTGATAGATGCTGAAACGACTGCCATGTGCATCAGAATGTCGAGCTGTATGCTGGCTGCTGTCAGGTGGGTGCTGTGTGATGATGGCCCAGTGCATCAGATATGAGGATTCAGTGCAAACAGGCTCTCGTCTTCTGTTTTGTTATCGAGGATTCATTATTATTATTATTATTATTATTATTTGCGGGATTCCCCAAAGGCCGAAGCCTAAATCAAGGGGGTCTCCGAGAATAAATATACGTGTACAATACATTTATTCTATGGCCTTGGTAGCGCCTCTATATCTGTTACCTGGCATGGCACCACTGCGCTATCACCTTTCCCTAGGCACTCTGTGCAATGCATCATGAAAAATGGGCTGGTCACACCCCGCAATATCATCACCCTCATCTAGCACCTACGCACTCTGTACAATGCATCATGATAAATGGACTTGTCACATCCGGGACCCGACATAATGATAATTTTCACACTCCATAGTGACGGAGTTCACACCTTCTAAGTATATAACCAGTGTACTCATACTTTGTTTGATCATCCATCTGATGATCCGTTGCTTGAACGGTGAAACACTGTGTAGGGAATTTGATCACTGACGGTTTTTCCGCTTGTGTGTACGTGTACAATATGTGTACAATAGGGTGCAATTTTTAAAAGCCTAAGGAAGAAAATATTGAGCAGATTCCTGCAGGTGTAGCAGTCGCGGTAATGCCCAGATAACTACAATGCATGTGATAACTACAATGCATGTGATAACTACAATGCATGTGATAACTACAATGCATGTGATAACTACAATGCATGTGATAACTACAATGCATGTGATAACTACAATGCATGTGATAACTTCAAGATGATTGATTACTTTTATTACAGTCAAAACCTGATAGGACGTACCCACCAGGGGAACACGGAATAAGTACTTCCTAGCCAAAGTACGTACTATACCCGCGCTGCAATAAAATGTGCACATTATTGTCAACTGCAAAAAGCACATTCCACACAATAGTATGTCTTACACTCTGTACGAACAGTGTACTGCTCAATGACATCCAGTCACGTCACTCATGTATTCGCCGGACACTACGCAGCCATAGACTTGCAAACACTGGGCTGCGAAATGGTGCAAGGCGCAAACTTGAGTGACGCGACTGGATATCATTGAGCAGCACACTGTATTTTAAAAGGCAGTTTTGCCTGTATCGTATCGTGTGCATTTCTACACAGATGTGGACGAATGTCTGTCACAGCCGTGTCAAAATGGAGCAACGTGCGTGAACCAGACAAATATGTTCACTTGCATCTGTCCTCCCGGATTTACTGGACCCACATGTGGAGAAGGTAAGGGAATTTTGTTGAAAAGTTATTGTTACTAGTGTGTGAGTTGCTGTTGTTTATTGCTGATGCTGGTAAGGATAGGGGTGCTCCTGATGCAGCAGATTATGGTATATGTTGATCTGCTGCTGCTGCTGCTGCCACGTCCGTCCCGTCCTGATGTCAGGTCCGTAGCGCTGCTGCTGCTGCATCTGATGCTGATGCTGCCAATGCTGTTGCTACTGCCACAGCTCCCACTGCTGCTAATTATGGTATTGTGTATGCTGCTACTGCGATCGTTATCTGTGCAGTGTGGATAAAACACATTGATGGCATGTAACGGCTGCATGTAGACATAATGTGAAAACTTCATTGACGTCTAGGATACAATCTACTATAGCCACTGATGTTCTTTTTATCTTTTTTTGCTCCTTGCTCCATGCAGACATAGATGATTGTGATCCACAGCCATGTCAGAATGGTGGTACCTGTGACGACGGTATAGATGAGTTTACATGTACATGTGCCAATGGATTTACTGGAGACGTATGCGAAACAGGTTAGTCGGTAGTCACTGTGATAGCAATGCATTGCTTATCCCAATTGCCCACATTTGCCAAGCTCCTTGCAACAAGCTACGTCCAGCCCAAGTGTGGTGACCAACAGTTAGGTGTGCAGGCTGAGAGAGAGAGAGATCTCCCTGTAGCTCTGCAAGTCTATTATACCAATCGTATAGGTGTGACATGATAAAACATGTCACACCTATATCATGTCACACCTATACGATTGGTATAATAGACTTGCAGAGCTACAGGGAGATCTCTCTCTCTCAGCCTGCACACCTAACTGTTGGTCACCACACAAGTACTCCCGTTCTGAATGTTCCAAATTGCCTGTACATTTAAGCTAAAGCAATCTTCATCTTCTTACTTAGAAGTTGCGACTTTGGCGGTATTCGTGACGATGTTGATTGTTGATGGAGCATCTATGTAAGTTTGTATCCCTGGTGATGGTTTTGCCTGGAGAGCACTATATAAGTGGTGATTTTCAGCCGCAATCTTCCTCAGCCTACTCAAGCTCAACTGATGAGCGGTGAATTTGCCGAAACACTGTGTATTGAGCAGGGAGTGGTGCTTTCTTGGAGGTTTGCAGAGCGGAAGGTGCGACGTGCTCCTCGTGTGCACCGGATGGCAGTCGTGAGTCCGTCAAGTGTCAAGTTCGGCAGGAATCGTGTGTTCTTCGTCAGAGCAATCAACTTCATCATATTCTTGTTGTTTTACTAGGATGAAAATCCATGTTGCTTCTCAGCCCAAGTATGTAGACTGCGTAGGTTACCCTCTTTGGAAAATCCGTGCTAAGCCTAGCTGTGAACTAGGACATTCTCTTGACTGTGAGTTGCATCATATTACAGCATGCACTATACTGTGACGAATGCAGAAGGTGATGAAATGCTTCGTTGTGTGCATGTGTCTGTGCGTCTGTGTGTTGGTCGGTCTGTGTGTTTGCATGTATGTGTGTGTGTGTGTGTGTGTGTGTGTGTGCGTGTGTGTGTGCCCATATGATGTACATCTGTTCTCTTGTGCCCGCAGATATCGATGACTGTGACCCTCAGCCATGCCAGAATAAGGGAACGTGTTTGGATGGTATTGACGCATTCAAGTGTATGTGTGCTGCTGGCTTCACAGGAGACACATGCCAAACAAGTAAGCATACTGCCTTATGAGTAGGGGTGAAAGTTGGCATTGAGATCCCGAGTTCGAGTACTCTGATTTTCTCCGATCGAATATTCGAGTATTCGAGTATTCTTCATCTCCTAAAAATTGCACACCGAGGGCCTTAAAATCACATGATACACCCCTGATTGAACCGAATGGCAGCCATTTTTCTCTGGTATATTGGTTGCTGGGTCATTTGGGCTCTCTCTACTCTTGAACAAATGTTCACCACACAGTCTGCACATCAATATCTGCCAATTGGCTGCTCTGAAACTGCAGATTTCTGTGGTAAATGCATGTACCACGTAGGAACGAGTACTCTGATTTATTCCGAGTACGAATATTTCTGAAAAAACCGAGCGAGTATTCGAGTATTCGGTATAATTGTTTCACCCCTACTTATGAGGAATGATCACACATGTAGGGATCACTCGATTCAGCAATACTGCATTTCACTTGAGGAGCACATGAATTTGAAGGATATGTATCGAGTGTTTGGGTGAAGCTTGCACCGACATTCTTTAAACTCACTTTTAGTCACCCTGTGGATTTGAAGCGTCCGTTTTATGCAATGCTCAAAATGCACACTGAATGTCTACCAGCAAATATGGGCGGTGCACAAGTGAACAACGCCTTTTTAACACAGGCGGGGATTGTATGGCGTTCCCCAGGCCCGCCATCTTTCCCATGATCAACTCTGGTACACATTCAGAGATCCCTTAAAAGACGCCAGGAGACCTGTAAGAGCTTGTGACATGCGATGCGAGGCAGCAAACATGGCACTGACTGTGGACAATTTTAAGTCTGGACACAACAGGTGACACATCACTGACTCTATTACATGGAAAGTGAGATCAAACTAGGGAATATTTGCAGAAACAATTGACCTGAGTCTGCGTTTTATAACTTTAAATTTCTAAGTATGATTTTGTTAGCCTCGTGTTGCGTCCGTTCTCTTTCCCTTTCATACGTGTTGTGTGCACTGATCATGTTACTCTCTCTCTCTCTCTCTCTCTCTCTCTCTCTTTCTCCCTCTCTCACCCCCCCCCCTCTCTCTCTCTCTATCTATCTCTCTCTCTATCTATCTCTCTCTATCTATCTATCTATCTATCTATCGATCTCTTCTCTCTCTCTCCCTCTCTCTCTCTCTCTCTCTCTCTCTCTCTCTCTCTCTCTCTCTCTCTCTCTTCTTTCAGATATTGATGATTGTGCCTCTCAACCGTGTGCCAATGGTAGTACTTGTATCGATGGTATCAACAACTTCACTTGCATTTGTGCGCTGGGATTCACCGGAGGAAAGTGCCAAACAAGTAAGAGATCTATCGGGGGTTTTCGGAGTATAAGCAGTATCCAGATTCATTGCCAAGTGAATCAGACAAAACGCTTGTGATAAACAGTAGCCACTGTGTGAACAAAACTATGGATAGCAGCAAACCATGGACAGCATGCTACAGCGAGTGACCATTTTGTAATGTGTTTATTTCTTATTGAACTTCGCTATAGTGGAGCTGCAGAAGAGAGTGGTATAAGTCTCTGCTGGAGAAAATTCATCATTAAAGGATGAGGGGTCCATTTTGAAATACGTTAGCTAGCGTGGCTAACAGCACTATGTGCTCAACGTGTGATCTTTTGGAGGAGATATAAATTTTCCTCGACCAAATTGAGCGCAGCTCGCATTTTGAGCTGTGAAGTCCATTTCTAGCCATTGTTGGTTCACATCAATTTTTTCTGTTTTCGCTCTGTTGATGAGCCATGCCCGAAAATGTGCTGAACAGTTTAAATGACGTGTGCAGCAAAGAGACTGTATTCTTTGTGTTTGAGTTGAGGGACCCTAATGTGTAAATGGCTGAAATGGAGTCTGTGAGTGCTTGGAGAAGTCCCTTTTAGCCCCATTAAAGCCTGCTCTCAAGGCACAGCGGTTGGATGTGTTGCATACGGGACATTTTGAAGCAGGCCGCGTGTTGCCCAGTGTTTACCCATTTTGTCTTTTTGTATTATTCTGCAGACATAGATGAGTGTGCTTCTAAGCCATGTCAGAATGGTGCTACTTGTACCGATGGTGTAAATGAGGTTACATGTACTTGTGCCAATGGATTTACTGGAGTCGTATGCCAAACAGGTTGGTGGGGACCGGGCAGTCACTATGGTAGCACAACCAACGAATTATGATAATAAAATATGCGGAAAAAAAGATCTTACGGAGTCCTTCTTGATGATTGATGATGGTGATGATTAGCTTGAGATTTGTAGTTTTTCTGTCCCTGATCAGCTTCCTGTCTTTCAAAAAAGGTATTAAAAAAGATCTTCCTATTCATTCTGGCTGTGTGTGGTTCAGTGGGGAGGGAATTGCTCCATGACTGCTGTCAATACCTACATTGCCATCAAGCATTTTATGAATTATAATTCAACCTGTGCATTCCTTGTACTTCACTGCGGGTGATGCTGCTGCTGTTGCTTCTGCTGCTGCCGCTGCTGCTGCTGCTTCTTCTGCTGCTGCTGCTGCTGCTGCTGCTGTGCCATCTCCTCCTTGTGCTGGTATTGTCAGTGCTATTGTCACTGCTACCACAATGTAATTCCTGGTTGTGGTTTTGGTCCCCATTTTTACAACTATTATTTTCCAGATATAGATGACTGCCTGCCAGCCCCGTGCCTCAACAAAGCCACTTGCATCGATCAGGTCGACGCTTTCCTGTGTGTCTGCGTTCTTGGCTTCACCGGAGACTCCTGCCAGACTAGTGAGTGTGTTGTCTGTGACTGTGGTGTCGAGCAATACAATTCATTAGCCTTGCAAGCTGTTGAATGGCCGTTATCCCAGCGCAATTTGCTGTGCGTAACATAGCGTGTTCGCTATCATTGCTTCAGCGATGGGCACGTGTAGCGTGTCAGGTGACAAGCACTGTGGGTATGGGTAGATTGTAGCATGTAGGTGGTGTTGTTGATAGTGTGTTTACAGTGGGTTTGCAGTGGGTTTACAGTGGGTTTACAGTGGGTTTACAGTGAGTTTACAGTGGGTTTACAGTGAGTTTACAGTGGGTTTACAGTGGGTTTACAGTGGGTGTTGTGAACCCTCTGGTTCTCTAAAGTGTCAGAAACGAACGACCACACGTCACGAGGACAACTATTGACTCTTGACGGTATATTTCACTTCCATCGACTATAACAATGAATGAACTAACACTAAAACCACCAGGTAGTTATAGAGTGAAAATGACAGCGTATTATGAGAAAAGCATACACACACAACATACAACTACAGCGCACACAGCAAACGGCACATAGCGCCTGTAGCGTATACCACGTCGTAAACATCAGCAGTACGGCGGAGTCGAGATACAACTGCATTGAAACGAACACAATGTCACAAGCGAGAAGGCCTTTCACTCTCGAGAACTTGTGGTTTCATAACAGTGGGTTTGCAGTGGGTTTACAGTGGGTTTACAGTGGGTTTACGGTGGGTTTACAGTGGGTTTACGGTGGGTTTACAGTGGGTTCTCAGTAGGTTTACAGTGGGTTTTCAGTAGGTTTACAATGGGTTTCACGGTGTTTAAAGCAGCACTTGTAGTCTGTAAGTCACGTCATGTCAGGTTTCATTCTGTAGTGCTTGCTTGTCACGTCAGGGATGAATTTTCTGTCACGGTTTTGCATAGCAGTTTTTGCTATGCAAAATTTAATTTGTGGCGTAAGCTACAAAAAGCATCGATAGCCTGTACATGTATGTATCGCAGTTTTCTGCGTGCCACTGTGATTTTTGAGTAGCAGTAGATCGATTTTGCGTAGCAAACTGCGATGCGATACAGGATAAATTCATCCCTGCACGTGATACCTAACACCCTCCTCCCCCCCCCCCTTCCCCTCCCTTCCCACATTGCAGTCCCTCTCTAGATATTGATGATGTCACAACCTGTGCATGTTTTGCGCTACTAGATATTGATGATGTCATTGCAGTCCCTCTCTAGATATTGATGATGTCACAACCTGTGCATGTTTTGCCCTACTAGATATTGATGATGTCATTGCAGTCCCTCTCTCACGGCTGTCCCATGCATGCGATGCGCGTTCATTAAATATGGCGGCCAAATTTTAATCTTTTTCATTTTTTACGCGATCTGGCCTAGTCGTATGTTTGCAATTTCGCTCGACTTCCATCTCAAACGGGCAAGGTCAACCGAAACCACGGGTGTTTGCCAGGTCATTCGATAGAGTTTAGAGCTTGGACTGGCCTTGCCTTCGACTGTGCCGCCGCTCGAGCGATCTTCTTGGGTTACCCACGCGCTACGCATGGTTTCTTTCTCGACGTGGGTGCAATTATTTTTGGATCGTCGCTCGATTTCAAGGGCTCGCCAACCTCGTCAGCGAATTTTCTCCGCCTCGCAGACAATTTTCTAGTATACCTCGATGTCCTAGCCTTTCGATTTCGTGTAGTCCTAAGCTTGACGTGCATAACTGTAGCTTTTCGTGGCCATGTTAGAGACGTAATTTTGTTCAGAAATGGAGGCTCATGTTAGCTTCCTGTCGTCGTGTTGTCGTATTGGAGGGGAGAAATTCGCGTCAAGGAGTGGACAGACGAAGTATCGTGTGGCAGATCATACTGAATCCATTTTGGCAGTGTTTCATCTCAATGTGGATGAAACCAAATACACCCTGAACATTTTTGCCACACTTGAAAATTGGCCATGGAATGCACTGTTACTGCCAGGGGCCCAACATTCTCTGGAGCTCTAGAGGTGGATGTACACCGCTCAAAGACTGGGAGCCACACAGTGGGACAAACTGTTTGAAATGCAAGCCCAAGCCTGGCAGGAAGTCCAAATGCAGAACACAAACGCAAGACAAACTTGCGGCATGGGAGAAAACGCGGGCCATCGTCCGCAAGCACGAGCACATGCACGCCGCCACCACTGACAACAGCATCACCAACAAAACCTCGCCCCACCACACCAGTACCTGATCACTGGATAGTTTAGTCTGTTCGGTTTACGAATTCAAAAAAGGAAGACAAAATAACAAAACTAAAAACAAGAGCGTCGCATGGACCGAATCTGATGAGCAGCAGCACGTCACACCCGCATACCAAGTTTAGTAATAGTACAGTGCGTATCGGTTATAGTGTGGTCGTATACAAGAATATACTGCCTACAAGAATGACCACTCATTTTTTCATAATCATAACACCTATTTTATGTGTATTTTTATTCTTACAAGCAGTATTATCGCATAGTAGAATATATCGGCCCTAAGAATGGATTTTGTGTAGCAAAATATGACAGATTAGTGCAAAGTGTATCGCCTGTAGTAATAACATCTGTGCTCTGTGCATGCTCAATACAATAATATTCAACACAAAAAGAGAGTTATGTCCAACTGAGCATTGTAGAACCACTTTTTCTGTCCAGCTATCTGCTGCTCCGCAGTCGCCTAGCACGACCGCGAGTCTGATCCGTGTGTATCATGATTGTGTAGACCTACATGATTGTACGTGTCCACATGCCAAACATGTATTATGTCACACGTGCATATGATATGTCACACGTGATTTATCGTGTGTAAGAAATATCGGCAATAAGAATCAAATGTCGTTTTTCAAACACCCACGCTATAACCGATACCTACTGTAGTAGTATAGTATTTATTCATATTTCTCTAGGGCTTAGTGGGTAAATCTCTGCATCCAGAACAGTTCAGTTCAGATAGGAATGCAACAACACACGCACAATGTCCACTATGTCACAGTGTGGTAGGGAGAGAAGTGTTTGCAGCTTGCTGGTAGACGTTCAGCCGTGCATGCATTGGCAAATGGCTAGAGCAGACGGCCCGCTGCCCTTAATGTAAGGCACACACGCAAGCGTCAGAGCTACAGCAGCCAAACAGCATAGTTCATGGATTCATGAAAGACTGCACCATACACTGCGCCAGCTCTGGTAGGGTGCCCTTTTAAGCATCGTCACTGGTCGGTGACGTTTTGCAGGCCTCACCATCAAAGATGCGAGGTGATGCTGCTGATCGACTTGCTGGCATGATAGTCACAAGCATAACTAACGAAGGATGGCTGGAAGTCAAAACCAGCTGTAGATGTAGATTCCAGGTATACCAGACAATTACTGACGCCAGCACTTTATCCGATGCCCCATCAGCGTCAACTGTACGCCGATGGTCACAGGACCGTGACAGCCTTTCGATCGGTCTACGGTCGGGAGACGGGGCTGCAAGCCCAAAGCAGCGGGTATATAGTGTTCGTCACCAGCTGAGCAAGAGAGCTTGCTGAGAGATTTAGGTGTGCACTGTTCAGCAACCAGTCCCAATATAGGTTTGTCCATGAAGGCTGGTGATCCTCAGCTATCATACAACAAATTCCTACTCACTGCGCATATGCGCATATGGCTTGTGAAACAGCAGCAGAAACTGCACTGCCTTGACAAACGCACCAGTTACCATGATGGAGCAGATATGCCCAGCCCTGGAAGCCAACACCAAATCTCCAATCGCTAGTACAAGTAGCTCTTCACTAAATCATGCCTAGTGCATGCTTGCAGTGATATTTTCAGCAAGAGCGCTGCAGTTACTGCTGAGGAGATATATTGCGTCCTTGAAGTCGAAGGCGCTCATCAAAGATGTCTTGCCATCAATTCTTGGCCTTATGCAGGCACGAGGTGGTCTCCCGTGGCATTGGCCATATTACCCCGAGCTGCACTTGCTCGAGGAGCACGTTGTTTCGCTCATGGAAGTCCTTCGTGTTGGACTGAGTAGGCTTGCTGAGAGAACAGAGCGCTGAATCCATCCACGTCCACAACTACGAATAATTTACAAAAACATTCCGACTGCAGATCAGCGCTTGAAAACGGCGATGCAAATCAGCGACGTTGGGCTTCTCCATTCAAAAGTAGAGCCTTCCTAACGAAGCAATTCTCATGTGACACTACATAGTCTCTCAAGCACTCTAGTTCAGGTCTTCTTCTCTCCACTCCATTATCATTTCGATCTTCACTCGGTCGACGTGATGGTAGTAGCTATGTAAAATGATGGATTCCTCCCGATCCTCGTCGCGGCTAAAATTTGTTCGGTGTTTGTCTAAATTCTCAAACTGACAGGGTTTACAAGAGAAATGTACCTAATTTTGTGCGATTGATGCAAATAAATCGGAATATGTCTGACTTCATAAATCCGTGCGGTAAACCGCATGAAAGGACGCCATGTCATTAGATGGTGCACATGAAGTCACCGTGCTCTAGATATTGATGATGTCACAACCTGTGCATGTTTTGCCCTACTAGATATTGATGATGTCATGCCTGGACTTGCCTTCAATGCCTTCCCCTACTTGGTACTGATTAAGTCATACATGTACTTGTCTTGCCCTACTTGGCATTGATGATGTCATACCTATACTTGTCTTGCCCTACTAGATATTGATGATTGCATAGCAGCACCTTGTCAGAACAATGCCACGTGCATCGATGCTGTCAACAATGTGTCTTGTGTATGTACTCCTGGGTTTACTGGACCTTTATGCAAAACCGGTGAGTTCCTGTGACTGTTGCTGATAGCTGTGTGTGTGGGGGGGGGGGGGGAGGGGGGTGTCTTTGTGTGTGTGTGGGGGGGGGGGGGTCTTTGTGTGTGGGGGGGGGGGGGGTGCATACATGTCTGTATTAGGGTGGATGTTTGCGCAGGCATGTGTATGCGTGTGAGTTATCTGGAGCAGTGACCAGTCGATGGATTCTATACATGACATTGTTTGATATCCGTCGCCTTCAAATACGGGCCACGAGGCACTTTGTTCCTCCAACATGCAACATGCGAAAAACTACATCCAAAACGGACCAAAACTTTATTAGGAAACGCACAAACTCTTTTGGGTACAAACTGCAATTCGAAAAGTTTGGGTGGCAACTTCACGTCTAGACGTGTATGAGGCCTAATGTGAGCAGGAATGCCCCGTTGCTGCGCTATGCTTACGCATGGGCGCTTGCTCATGGTCGTAGCGTGAGCCCGCCCTTAACTGAAAAGCGAAAGATCTGAAGCATCCGACGTGATACAGGGTGGCAGAAAGCTGAAATGGCAGCCAAAACAATGTGGTATCGGCTACTGTGGCAAGTCGCACAAGCTTGGTGTCAGATGAGTGCATGCATCAGCCAACTTTTCCGTTTGATTGTGATCCATTGTGCGAGTCTAGACGTGGAAAGTGGGACAAAAGTGTCGATATTTCATGAAATCTGCACAAAAGGTGTCCTCGGCAAGACGCAGCACATTTTCACTCAAATCTGGACTGTGCAGACGAGGCCTGGACGGTCGGACGGTCTGCTATATGGGACTTCTCCGGACAACTCAGATGCATGCATGAACACACACCTACTCCTATACACGCACGCAGACACACACACACACACACACACACACACACACACACACACACACACACACACACATGCACACACATACACGCACGCACACATACACGCACGCACACACACACACACACACACACACACACACACACACACACACACACACACACACATACACACACACACAGCCACGTTCACCCCCACACACACATACACGCTCACACAAACGCACGCATTATTACATTCCATCGCCCACCAAGCAATATCAAGGTACTCAAGCCTCTTTATCTTCACACTTCTCCCTCTATCTCAGAAATCGACGAATGTGCTTCTTTGCCCTGTTTCAATGGTGGCACCTGTTTCGATCAAATCAACTCGTTCCGTTGTGTTTGTCCATTTGGTTTCACCGGCCGCAATTGCCAAACAAGTAAGTCTTCCATCTTATGTACACTACTGCCAAAGCGGAAAATTTTGTTGTGTAATACTTTCAGTATTCTCCAAAATCAACGGTCCGGTAGCGCGAAAATTTCGGTAAACCAATTTTCCAGATCCAAAAAATGTATTTTGCGCACTGTGTGGAATGGCAGCGTTGAATTTTAGGTGACGTTTTATTTCAGAAAAAAAAGAAAGAAAAATTACCTGCACCGAAGTCACATGGAAACGAGTTATGAAGCACCTATCCACAACTGTTACAAGATAATAAGCAGTCGGTCATTTGTTTAAAATGGGCTTCTTCTATTTTAATTATATTTATTGGCTCCGTATCCGAGTTAAATTTGTACCGAAGTCACCGAAAATAAATCTTCACCAAAAGTTTCCGATTTTACACTAGTTGAGGGTGTTGAAAAGGAAATGAGTCTTGGGGCGCGTACGAATGCACCCATTGCTCAATGACGTAATTTGTACTACAAACACCCGTCACAGCCACCTGGGCATGGTCGTCTGGGGTGTTGAACAGTGCATTGCTGATCCCAGCGTCCTCACAAGCGTTACTTGTACATTCCATACTTGGCAATGCGCAATGGGTCCATTGTCCTGACCACCTTTTTCATAAGCATCCCGGAAGAAATTAGTTGAACTATCCCAATCGAGCGGTTGCTGTAAGCATCACCTGTTCCTTTGAAATTACCATAGCAATGAGATCTTCCAAGTTTGCTTCCCGCGCGTCATAGTGAGACTATGATAACGTGCAAGTTCGTCGTTGTTTTCATACAAAAGGCAGTTTTCTCGGCAATATTCCAAGCTCTTCTAAAATAAGCCACCACTCGCATTGGATGAGATGGCGGAGTTTCAAGTGAGGAGTTTCAAGGAGACTTCGATTTTTTTAAGAGGCCAATATGCCACCTCTTTAGAAAAATGAAACTCCTCGAAATTTCAAAGAGTGACCATTCGAACTCTGTGTGCTTTATTGATTCAGAGCTTCACTCTTCACAGCACAACAACACGTGAGCAATGGCACTTTCCACACTACAAGTGTAGACCACGTAACAATTAGATAACACGCTCTCTTTAACCTCGCGGACAACAACATTTTCCACGCAAGATTGAGCATAGAGTTTTTTCAAGGTTGTACCAACGGTCACTTTTTGGGGTCACGTGCGAGAAATGTTTGAATCGCTGGTGAACAGGCGAAGCCCAGTTCACGTTCACTTTGTATGTGAATGGATGCGTGGAGGTGAAAGAAGCAGTAGAGTCAGACCTCGCTTAACCGCACACATCCGTTTTCCACGAAAATGTGCGGATAGGCGAGGGAACCAGATATCCGAACACCGGTTATGTTGGATGCACCACGTATGCTGTAAATCTGTTACCAGCCATTTTCTTCCGGATAGCGAGGGATCCGGATAAAAGAGGACCGGATAAGCAAGGTCTGACTGTAGTATGGCGCTCCACTTGATGTCCCACACTCGTGTTGACTCAGAGTAGTTGCCAGGAAGCCCTTCCATGGCTTGGGCGAATAGGAACAAGCTTCAGAATCGCTCCAAGAGCCGGTGGATACGAACCTGTCACATTTCGTGTACTCTTCAATGCATTTTGACATGCGAGCTGTTTACCACAATCTCGGGGTGATCGCCGGGGCGGTGGCGAGAAAGGCGTCCTTGGAAAAGCTCTATGTTATCCATTTTTACATTGTAATTGAATCACTCGCAGGTTATATGCAGGAGAATTTGGAACTTTCGGAAATCAGAAAACGAACACCGAAGACTTGCTTGGGAAAGACATTGTGTTCTGTTACGGTCTCGAACAACAGGTCCTGCCCTTTCGGCGCTAGTGTGTTGGGCTTCAACATGCAGGGCTTGAGGGGTTGAAAAGGGAAACGTCTGAAGAAAGAAAGAACTGACTGCTACCACCAGGACTTCAAGCAGGGACCTCCGCTTATGACTAGCACTATTCTATCAGTAAATAATAACGGGTTATTTTGTGTTGTTGCTGTTTTGTTTTTGTGTTCCGATTAGATCTGGATGATTGTGTTGGCGTGAAATGTCAAAATGGAGGAGTGTGTGTCGATCTAGCCAACGATTTCTTGTGCAAATGTCCTCGGGGAACATCTGGAAGATTCTGCGAGATGGTTGCCTCGCCTTGCCTGCTCACTGACCAAGTTACTGGTGTGGTGCCAATAGCACCAGCTACTGGAGGTTAGTGAAGGTTGGGTAGGGGGGGGGGGGGGGGGTCATTTTATTTATTTTTATTTTATTTATTTATTTATGGATTCCCCAAAGGCCGAGGCCTAAGTCGAGGGGTCTCCGTTTATGGCTTACTGGGAATATATCTGCAAAATTATAACATTATAGATTTTGGGGAGCGTTATGCACGCTTCTGTGGCATGTGTGATCAGCTGTACAGCAATTGGTGCCAGTTGACTCATGCATGAACCCCATACCCGATTAGACCGTCACTGATATCCTCGGCTTTCCTGCGTATGATTTCCTATTCCACAGTTGAAGTTCTCTCATTAGAGAGGTTCTGCAAAACGAAAATGCATACAAACTTTTCGCTCTACGTCATGAAGTGCGAAACTTCGCACGAACTTTCACCACTTTGGACGGGAAGCTTGCAGGGAACGCGAGATGAACTTTCGTAGGACGTTTTCTGAGATGGGGTCATGGCGTATGTGCACTTGGCGCGTGCAAACCACGAAAATGTGCAGAACGCAAAATTCGTGAGAAAATTCGTACACACTTTCGCAAGGATCGTCGCGAAACTTCGCTCGAATTTTCGTTTTGCAGAACCTCTCTAATGTTGGATATCCTCTGCTTTCTGTGCGTGTGACTTTCTACTGCACAGTTGTAGTTCCGTCCATGTTCATCGGTTGTTTCAGCTCAGCATCATCACCGCGTCCATTCGACAGAGTACTGACGCTAGGCTGTCCGGACAGTCCCGTGTGCACTGCGTCGTGTAGATCCCTTGGCTACCCTTACGTCTCCATACGCCCTAACATGGGCAGCTTCGACTGCGTGTGCGGCTGTTCGTTTGCCAACTCGTCCGCGTCGGCCGTCGATCCGGCTCTGTGCCAGGCGGGTTGCCCAATGGCCATTCCGTTCTGCGGCAGCCTCTCAGAGAAGGCCGTGTACAGCACCGGGTACATGCTCCCCGTGTAGACACTCTGAGAGCTGCTCGAACTTCAGACACAGCTCTGTATGTATGTATGTAGACCTGGATTCAGGGTACATGCTTCCAGCTTAGACACTCTGCGTGCTGTTCAAACTTCGGTGACGGCCACGTATGTATACATGGATTTCGCTGTTGGATTTTACACCATTCGGGGTATTTGTTCCCGTTCAGAAACTCTGGGTGCTGTAAAAACTCAGTGACAGCCGTGTATGCATACGTGAATTTCTCTGTTGGATTTCACACCTAGGTAGGTAGGCTATTGCCAAAGCTGTTGGCATGCTCCAAGCACAATGCACCGTCTTGCAAACATTCTGCCAGTAATTCTGCCGCCTTAACTCTTTCCTGACATTCTTGGTAGAAAGGAAAAGGTGGTTTGTCAACCGACGACCGCTCTATTCAGTTCCTAGTGTGAAGTCCATAGACTTCTTAGTTCCAGGTATTGCTCACACATACCCGCCGGATGAGTGCGAGTACGCGTGGCCCATGCAACATGGGGACCCACGGACACAAACCGGTTATAGCCGCTAATATCGCAGGGCTCGACTTTCACCTTCGCTGTGCTAGTAAGCTTGCTGTCTTGGCGTCTAATTTTCTGTGTTGGTATTTGCTTGCTGAATTGCTGAATCCGCTCTAGAATCCTGCCCGGACGACATCGTAACTACCAGTATAGCATGCATGCGCATAGCATTGCACTTGGCTGGGGCACTCTACCATAACAGCACATTGTGTGACACAGCATTATCATTATGGCTGTATAGATTGATAGTTAGCATGCGGCTGCATTCACTTGCCCTGCAGTTATGATATCCCAGCTACAGTAGTAATCGTGGTGCTGTCAACCGATTAATTTATAATAGCTATAGCTTTAGGAACAACCTCACTTTTAGATTTAGACTACGGCAGCGAGCTTCTGCTGTTGGATTAAGATTTTTTTAGTTCATAAGGAGTACCATACTTCTGTTTCCTTGCCAACCAATACTTCTCTTCACCTTGAATGAATGACTTGTGTCTCCTGGGGTGATCTGTGACCACCGTGCCTGGGTGTGAGTTCTGATGTGGCCTGTTGTTGTCGAGGTAACCTGAGCTGCATCACGGAGGCTCATGAACTCGTACCCGGTCCGGGCTGGGTGTGAGTCCCTGTCTGTCTTGTCTGTTGTCATGGACATCGAACGAAAACAGCAGATCTTGACCTTCGCTGCCGATACAAAACACATCCACTGGAGTAAGAAATCCTATAAGTCAAAAACAGTTTGTAGGCTGGTAGGGTGGGGACGGTGGCTTTCCAGCTTCTGAAACTCACTATGGCCAATTTTTTCAGAAAAGTTTCGAAAAAATGTTCAAAGGCTTGCCCACCCACCCCCTTCCCTGCCTCTAGCTCTGTCTGCCTGCTATCAGTCCCCACAGAATGCACATACATACAAACATACAAGATACATTGAAGAAGCAGTATGGGGGTGGTGTCATTTCCATGCATGTAAGCAAAGCATGCAGAGAGTGAAAATCACACAGACACATCCGATGTCCAATACCAAGAGTATATAATCCCCGGCAGTTATGTACTCTTGCCAATATACCTACAGCACCTGTGTCTGTGACCTAAAACAAACACACTGTGATGACGTCTTAATCATGCAGCAACTGTAGAATGTACTGCTCAACAATGGCTGTCAATGGCATCTGCATGCTGGCATGCTGGCATTCCCTTTTTTATCATCAAAAAAGCAGCACAGGGTAGGCTTGAACCCATGCATGCTGTGCTTCAGTCCTGGATATCTACATGTACATAGACCCCTCCACAAACCACTCCACCATCAGTGTCAGTTGCTTGAAGATGGCTGCTGCAAGCATGTAATTAAACACCTCCGATAGGCTGGAGAAAAAAAGGGGAATTTCCAGATGATGGTGCTCCTTTGCGCATACAACTACAACAACCAATGACACACGCGTTGCTGTCTATCGAGCAGCCCAATTGTAAACCCTGAGACGGATAGCAAAAATGGTGCTTGCATGAAAGTGCATCCCCTGGAAGTCCAGTGTCATCTTACTGTACAACTTGGGCACGAGTGCCCAGTTCGGAAAGCCATAACTACCAGCTTTTAAAGCAATGAATCAAACTATGTGCGCGCTCCTATCACAATCATGGCAACAATCGAAAGTTTCCAGAACGTTGTCTTGCCAATAATACGGAGGATTAGCAAGACGAAATTCTCGTTCGCGTTCGCAAACATTTTCAACAAACTGGATTGCGAACTTTCGCATTTTTCGTTCGGAAAAATAGTCGGAACACGAATCGCGGATTCGTGTCAGGGCAGTCATAAATTATTTACCACGGTGTTCTGTCTGTGCACAATGACCGTCGTGTCAACGTCATGCATGTGCGAATTCTGTTTGCTAATCCTTCTCATAACGCGAATTCCGTCACTGAGTTCGACTTTCCTTGGAGAGCGAACGCGAACGCGAATTTCGTCTTGCTAATCCTCCGTATTATCAATGGAATTCGTGACTGAGGGGACGGATTAGCTTATACTCTGGTTGTGTCAATGTCAATTCACGCATGCACCGACGCAGCAGGACCAACGCAGCAGGACCGACGCAGCAGAACCGACGCAGCAGGATGACTTGGAACAGGCATAAAATAGCACATGACAAATAGAACACACCTCAAACTTCTTCCTATTAAAATACTCTGATTTTATTATTATTCTCATTCACATCTCTGGATACATGTCCGGTGTGCTGTTAGGGCAACGAATATGGCATCGTTTATTAGCCAAAAAGCAAATCTATTTTTATCTAAAAAAATTATAAGCCAGTCTCTTGTTATAAGCAAAACATAATCAACGCACAGTACAAAAGTGGAACGAGGCAACTTTATCCGGTAAAAATTAAATACTGCGCACAATGCATGCCTACAGACAAAGTGCAGGTCGCAAAATTATGAAACCATGAGACTGGGTATTAGGATAATACGCCGGTCAGAGATAAAGATATTGCAGGGATGAATGTGTAAACATCAGGTAATACATCCGGGCCGCTGGAACACACACATCCCGCTGGAACACACACATGTAGTTCATACAATGCATGTCACACTGGACTGTTTGGAAATGAAATGCTCCAGCTCTGGTAGAAAGGAGGGGAAGGGGGAAGGGGGGGGGGGGAGGGGGTCTGGGTAAAGGTGTTCCGTGAGCGAGGACTCCGCGGAACGGGGTATTAAAATATTATGAGTAGAAAAACATGTCTACACAGCAGGATTCATAATCCGGTGAGAAGAAAGAAGTAAGACCAGTCGGAGAAGTCCAAGGGAATAGAGAGCCGCTGTATATGTGTACACCTCTGGCTCAAAAAGAATATGCAACCCAGTTCATGCCCAAACAATAAAAAAATAAAAAATAAAGGTATCGGCGTGGGTGTATTTAGAAACTTGAGGAATGTAACCACACTATGGCAACTGATATTACAGAGTAAAACAGCAGCACATTAAAATCAACCCTTAGACGTGGATTTCAAGTTAGTTGCAAACCCAGGGTCACTGAGGCCCAACTCCTATTGACAGTATCCTCAGTGTGCACTCAAGATGAACACAGTGCACGCTCAATGGATGCTCAGCATGCGCTCAGAATGCCAGTGCCTACATCCAGCCTATACTATTCGGGCTGCAAGCATACACACACACGGTGACCACCAAAGGTGTGCTTCTAACAATAAAATACAACCTGCTGCCAAGACCCATCTGCACAAGAAGACTATACAAGAATTCAGCAGAGGGAGAAATCTGAAGTCTTCCTGGAGTCGGATGTGCAATGAGACAATACATGCAACAGGTCCACAACCACACGGGTATTTCCCACACGGGTATTCCCCGCACGGGTATTCCCCATATGAACAGGGAAACACTGGAGAGCCCAATAGGAGGGATTTCCCACACGGGTATTCCCCACACGGGTATTCCCCATATGAACAGGGAAACGCTGGAGAGCCCAATAGGGGGGTCACCAAAGTAGACTGGGTTGTTGACTACAGCTAGCACCAGACAATGTACCGAGAAGAGGATGTTACTTGGTTTTCCTGGGACGCGGGTCGAACTGTTTGGGCTCAATGCTCGCATCCAAAGCTTGGAACTTTTCCACTAGAAAGTTTTTATCGGTGACGAGCTGCCAACAGTTAGATATGGACATAAAGGAAGAAAAGAAAAGGCAGTCTGAATTTAGAACACACAAACACACAGTTCAAACACACACGCACGCACGCACGCACACACACACACACACACACACACACACACACACACTCACTCACACACCACACACCACACACACACACACACACACACACACACACACACACACACACGCACACGCACGCTGGTCCTTGCTCTCAATGTCTTGCCCGCTGCCAGAAATAAGTCAAGTTGGTCTCCCCAGCAGAGAGAAGAGAGATTCAAAAGAAATCTTCAAATTGACTCAATTGGCTATTGAATGGCTCAACGGCCCAAATCCCTCGAATCCCCAACCTATGGGTTGACTTATGACCCCACTTAGGGGTCACCATGTCGAAGTTCCTAGTAGTGGGTGGGGATACGGTGCAGGTGAAGGATCGCCGGCATCAAGGCATCTGGTCTGGGGATGAAACTGCATTTTCTCTGTCCCTGCCCCCCTTTTAAAATACACCATGGTCACATACTGTACACACACTGTACACACACTGTACACACACTGTACACACACTGTACACACACTGTACACACACTGTACACACGCTGTACACACACTGTACACGCACTGTACACACGCTGTACACACGCTGTACACACGCTGTACACACGCTGTACACACGCTGTACACACGCTGTACACACGCTGTACACACGCTGTACACACGCTGTACACACGCTGTACACACGCTGTACACACGCTGTACACACGCTGTACACACGCTGTACACACGCTGTACACACGCTGTACACACGCTGTACACACGCTGTACACACGCTGTACACACGCTGTACACACGCTGTACACACACTGTACACACACTGTACACACACTGTACACACACTGTACACACACTGTACACACACTGTACACACACTGTACACACACTGTACACACACTGTACACACACTGTACACACACTGTACACACACTGTACACACACTGTACACACACTGTACACACACTGTACACACACTGTACACACACTGTACACACACTGTACACACACTGTACACACACTGTACACACACTGTACACACACTGTACACACACTGTTTTTTTTTTTTTTTTTTTTTTTTTTTTTTTTTTTTTTTGTACACACACTGTACACACACTGTACACACACTGTACACACACTGTACACACACTGTACACACACTGTACACACACTGTACACACACTGTACACACACTGTACACACACTGTACACACACTGTACACACACTGTACACACACTGTACACACACTGTACATATACTGTACACACACTGTACACACATTGTACACACACTGTACACACACTGTACACACACTGTACACACACTGTACACACACTGTACACACACTGTACACACACTGTACACACACTGTACACACACTGTACACACACTGTACACACACTGTACACACACTGTACACACACTGTACACACACTGTACACACATTGTACACACACTGTACACACACTGTACACACACTGTACACACACTGTACACACACTGTACACACACTGTACACACACTGTACACACACTGTACACATACTGTACACACACTGTACACACACTGTACATATACTGTACACACACTGTACACACACTGTACACACACTGTACACACACTGTACACACACTGTACACACACTGTACACACACTGTACACATACTGTACACACACTGTACACACACTGTACACACACTGTACACATACTGTACACACACTGTACACATACTGTACACACACTGTACACACACTGTACACACACTGTACACACACTGTACACACACCGTACACACACCGTACACACACCGTACACACACCGTACACACACCGTACACACACTGTACACACACTGTACACACACTGTACACACACTGTACACACACTGTACACACACTGTTTTTGTTTTTTTGCGTATCTCGCGCCAGGTTTGAACGGCACTGCCTCTTGTACGGGCAAAATAACACATTTTGTGAAGAATCAACACATAAAACGAATCATCAGAATAGTATTTACAGAGTCTGTCACTCAGTAGGATCACTGCACTGTGCAGGTTCACTGGATGCGTGCCTCCGCCGCCACTAGCACAGCAGGGGACTCAGGCATGGCAGGAGCAAACATGCTCCTTGAGCCAAGCATGCACATAGCACCACAACGCACCAGGGCAAACCCAAGGCGGCAGCGCAGCAAGGAGATAATCTGCCCGTATGGCTCCTTACTCTTCTCAGCCAGGAGAGAGGCGACCCGCGTGAAAAGAGCATTGGCATGCTTGCCATAGCCACCAGAGGCAGAGAGCACAACGGGCACGAAGGAGGCATGCTCAACTTCACGTACTCGCTCCTCGTACTTCCGGCGCTTTTCCTGTTCATGGCGTCTGTAGCTAGCAGCGAGGGAGGTGGCACGATTCGAAGACGCAAAAGGGTTGAACATCCGTACATCACTGTACACACACTGTACACACACTGTACACACACTGTACACACACTGTACACACACTGTACACATACTGTACACACACTGTACACACACTTGTACTTGTACTTGCTCACTGCCAAAACTGGTCACGTGGGTCTCCCCGGGAGAGGGGAGAGAGCCTCAAAAGGAATCTTGGAAAGATGACTCAATTGGCTATTGAACCGCCCAACGGCCAACACCTCCTGAAATCCCCAAACTCTAGGAGGGCTCGGAAAAGATCCAACTGATGGGCTGACCACACCTCAGTAAGTGGGTGAGGACAAGGTGCAGAAAAAGGATTTTTTCTGGACACACACGCGCACACACACACACGCACGCACACACACACACGACTTACAATATTGACTTGATCCTGTAGCAGACCCACCTCGGCGCTATGTGCCCGAGCCTTGACGCGGTAATAGAATGCAATTAGACTGCAAAACCGGAAGACAAAGATATACAGAGCTAGGTGTTCGACAGAAGGGCAAAAAGACAAAAGCGTTGGATAGGTCACCACCACTGCCACGATTCAGGTTGTGCGTGCTTCCCCTAGCTGCATCTCATGTTTGGCATTTAAGTGGTCTTTGTAAAATAAATAAAATAAAATAAAATAAATAGGTATTGAAATACCTACGCATAGCTTTTGCCTTAACAGTGATTGGGGTTGATCCTGAGCAAGGTGATGATTCCTGCAACTCTGTTATTCTAAATAGTTCTACCTAGCACAGTTAACTGCCCAGATCCAGGCAGGTTGGGACACGTAATAAGGCCTCTTTTACCGGCAAACAGAATACAATTGACATTGGCATGGCGAATGATTAGAACACATCGAGAACACATCCAGGCAGGTTGGGACCGAGCATTGTCCGTGACTAGGAATTGCCGCTCAAGGGACCTTCAAAATGTGGTCGCTGTGTCCAGGCGGTTGCCTTCTCAAGGGTCATTTGAATGGAACTCGTATCCCCTGCTTGGTTGGATGGTTTATTATAGTTTGCACCATAAACGGGAAACTAGGCTTGTAACGGAATCACAGCCATTCCGTTCCCCGGGACGCAGGACACAAAGGACAAGACTAGTTTGGTTTACATAATATTATTATTGACATTACGGAAATGGAGACAACGCTCAAAAGGACGAACAAGAAGACTGACAAAAAGACTCTCGACTACAACATCGCGCATGCTCATATCACACATGCACGCGACTAGACGAGACAGTTTGGGGAATGCCATCACACAGGAAAACAACACATCATTTTACAACAGGCTGAATGGTATTGGTGAATGGCCATGGTTGTAGTGGTCCCTTCGGGAATGGACGCGATAATTGTCTTTTTTCTTCTTTTTTTTACTGCAGTACTTACAGGAGTAGGATAATGGTTGGCACGGCAACAGCATACGATAAAATGACCCGTATGGCGGTGTCGATCCAGCCCGGCCCGTTGCGCAACAGCTTGGTGAATGCCGAATACATCCCCACCTCACCTCTGTACAAGTCAAGACAAAGAGAATATGGTGTGAGCTGCTATGATGACAACAACTTTACACAAATGTTTCCCTAGTAACTCACTTGAAGACGATGCTGTGTAGTCAGATGCCCCTGATTCCCAGGTGCACCTTCATGTGGCGTTCAAACTCTGGCTCTGCATCACTCTCTCTCTCTCACTCTCTCTCTCTCTCTCTCTCTCTCTCTCTCTCTCTCTCTCTCTATCTCTATCTCTCTCTCTCTCTCTCTCTCTCTCTCTCTCTCTCTCTCTCCTTTTTCTCTCCCTCTCCCCCCCCCCCCCCCTCTTTCTCCCTCTTTTTCTCTCCCTCTACCCCCCCCCTCCCCCTCCCCCCTCTCTTTCACATACAGCATGCACTTGCAGCATAGTTTAATATCACATTAGCAGAATAGACAAATCTGATGGCACACTTCTAAATCTCCACCTACTTAAACGGACCGCATTGAGAGGAAGGTCTGGATCTGTACAACGAACCACACACACACACATGCACACACACGCACACATACACACACACACACACACACACACACACACGCGCGCGCGCGCACACACGCACGACAATAAAAAATGAACAATGCACAACACACCAGCACACACAATATGCTTAAAACAATGAACAATGTGACATTTCATTCTGATTGTCCGCAAACTCCAAGCAGCCGCTTACACATTCATGAAACAGTCCTTTTACTGCGATTCATATCTACATCAAACCAAGTTTTGGGGTTTACCGGGTGTTAGAGGCCGTTGTGGGTTCCATTCGGGAACGGACACGACAACTTATTTTACCTTCTTTTTTTTAAAAAGTTTTTCGGCCTGGCCCATCATCGGGGTAATAAAATCATTTAATGAGTCTCGGAAGAATGGAGAATGACGAAAAAGTTAGGTTCTCTGATTGGTGACGACGAAGACATCACCAAGCGAAAGCAGCTCGCTACAGCATCCTACAGAGCAATGTATAGTCTTTGGAAACGGAGAACATTAGTGCGTGAATAATTGAGACTGAGGCTGTACAACGCCTTCGTGATTCCAGTCTTACTGTACAACAGCGGCACCTGGGCACCCACTTCAGTGGCGGAGGCCCAACTGCATTCGTTTCACCGCAGGCAGTTGCGTAGTCTCATCGGTATTAGGTGGCCACAAACAATAAGCAATGCTGCTCTCTACAAGAGGTGCAAAGCACAACCAATAACTAACTTTGTTCGCCTAGCCAGATGGAGACTCTTTGGCCATATACTGCGCATGCCTGACGGATGTCCTGCTGTAGCGGCCATGATTAACTACTACCAGGTGAAGGAAAAAGTGTGGAGAGGACGGCCAAGAACGACTCTGCCTATCGTGCTATCCCGTGACCTGCAGAGAGTGGGGCGGAGGGGTCTCAAGACGTTGTCTGATCTCCTCTCACTCCGGGAGATTGCACAGGGCAGAGGGGAGTGGAAGGACTTATGCAAGGACGTCTGCAAGTCCAATAGTGGCATGGCGTCTACGACTAAACCAAATAATATTGCTCCAAAATATCACAATACTGCTTTTCATAACTGCTGTGGTAATAATAATTAACATTCTTCAATACCAACAAAATTTCTCTCTTTAAAACGTAGTGCGTGGATTTGCATCCATCTGCCACCATTTTACTGGATTATTCTCAAAACGGAGTTGACAATGCCCGTTATTCTGTGTGTGCATCCTCTGTTCAATCTGAGCAATGCTGTCATGTGCCCCTTAGCAGGTACGTCTTGTTATTGTATTTCTATTTCTGTTGTCGTTGCTCTTTTATTTCCATGCCGCACTGAATGCTCGGTGCTCATTTCCCAAGTCCATGTAGCACATGCGAATTTGTGGGCGGTTTATCACCGCTGACATTGACGCGTAAGTGCATAATAATAAATAATAATAATGACAAAAACATCCAAAGAGACAAGACGACAATTAGCCTCATCTCAACTTGCCAACCGCGTACTTTACGTGCAGATGCCAAAGTGGATATTTTGTTCTCTGGCACCGTTGATGTGCATACAAGCTCACAAACCACATGTGACCATTTGCTATAATATTATAATAAGCCAGTGTGGCTCGCTGCACTGATCCCCCCCCCCCCCACACACACACCCCTCTCCTCCTAGTTAGGATAGTTGACGTTTGGATAGCCGGCACTCTGCTATTCAAAGAACTTGAGGACCATAGACCTAGCATCAGCACAATCACTTACTGATGATAATACTCGAATGCCACAAACCCGAGGGGCACAAGCGAGGGGCACAAGTGAGCGGCACAAGCAGCAGACACAGCACCATCACCTACTCGAATGCCACAAACCCGAGGGTAGCAAGCGAGGGTAGCAAGCGAGGGTAACAAGCGAGGGTAGCAAGCAACAGACACGGCACCGGCAGTACTTACTCAAACGCCACAAAGCCGAGGGGCACAAGCGATAGGCACAAGACCAGCAGCAGCATGCCGTAGAAGAGCTTGGAGTTGCGATAGCCTCTGTGTGGCTTGGTAGACGGCAGCATGAACCAAAGCAATGTCCACTGCAGCAGTGAAAGGCAGTGGGCAAACACGCAATACAGTCAACTTCGCTTATAACGACACTCGGCGGGGAATCAGAAAAGTGTCCTTATTCGCGAAGTGTCGTTATACCCGAAGTCTCATTGTATGTATTCCAGTTGGATATGACTTTGCTCTGGGCATAGAAATTCTGTCGGTATTCGCGAATTGTCGTTATATCCGCAGTCGTTATTAGCGAAGTTGACTGTAGACGTCACATGACCTACAATAAGTCAACAGATATTCGGCGCATATCTATTTTCCGCTATTTTCGGCCTGATCATATTTGGCCGAAAATTTGTTTTGCAACTTACGGGTTCAGTGTGATAGTGTATACAGGCAGAAGCAGCACAGGCCAAACATTTGTCGCAGCCGAAATGGGTTTTAGCCCTGGGAGGCTGGAATTTGAATGGGCCGAAATGGGTTTTAGCCCTGGGAGGCCGGAATTTGAATGGGCCAAAATGGGTTTTGGCCCTGGAAGGCCGGAATTTGAATGGGCCGAAATGGGTTTTAGCCCTGGGAGGCCGGAATTTGAATGGGCCGAAATGGGTTTTAGCCCTGGGAGGCCGGAATTTGAATGGGCCAAAATGGGTTTTAGCCCTGGGAGGCCGGAATTTGAATGGGCCGAAATGGGTTTTAGCCCTGGGAGGCCGGAATTTGAATGGGCCGAAATGGGTTTTAGCCCTGGGAGGCCGGAATTTGAATGGGCCGAAATGGGTTTTAGCCCTGGGAGGCCGGAATTTGAATGGGCCGAAATGGGTTTTAGCCCTGGGAGGCCGGAATTTGAATGGGCCGAAATGGGTTTTAGCCCTGGGAGGCCGGAATTTGAATGGGCCGAAAATTTGTAGACTCGCAGTGCATGTAGGTGAGAATGAACGGTATCGAGCATTGCCAAATACGGAATGTATGAGTAACACCAGAGAGTACACTGGGATCAGCAGTGTGCCTGACCAGCTATTTGTTTAGCCCTGCAAAGCACCGGATCTCGACTCTTTCTGAACCGGCTGTCATGGCTTCAACACTGAGCCACTTTTGAAAAGCAGTACTGCCAGACGTCGAAAAACGACAGGGTAGAGTTTCACCAGGTACGGAACGCCCGTATTTAGATGGCTGCTGAGCTACAATGGTTATGTGAATGATGTCATGGTGGTGATATCATGGGGGTGATGACATGGGGTGATGTCATGGGATTATGCCATGCAGATGATGTCCTTGGGGCAATGTCATGGTGATGTCATGGTGGTGATTCAGCGGAACCGCTTATGACCGCTGTGTATGTCTTTAGTGCGTTTCAAAAGTATAGACCTCTAGACTTTTTCGAATAATTCAAATTATTTGGTTTAAGCTTTTCAAGAAATTTCTTCAGAACTTTGCCCAGGCAGCGCCCGCAATTTTCTCATAATATAAACCTCTAAGTGATTGGACAACAAACGCCCAATTTCGGAAATTTTATGCACAAAGTGATCACAAATTTTATGTGGTATAGATGCTGGCCTAACGGTTTTTTGAAACCAGAAGTCTGGACTTTTCAAACACACTATAGTACCTGGTTGTCACGACGCTGCGCTGGGAATTCCCCAAAAGACTCTCAGTGAACGGATGGTGTATCCGCAACAGACTCTCTATAAACAGCTCTACATGAAAAAAATAAGACTGAACCCCTCCATTCTTCTGCACCAGGCAGTACTGGCGAACTTACCTTCTTAGCGTAGAAAAGGCAGAAGAGGGACACAACGCCAATAGCGGGTAATACCGGTGAGAAGAAGAAACCAAGCCTGGAAAGGAGTATAGGGTAGTAAATGGCATGCTGTAAGTCTACACATCTTGAGCCCATTCAAATGTCGGCCTCCCAGGGCTAAAACCCATTTCGGCCGCATCAAAATTTCAATGTGTACTGCCGCTGCCTGTATACAGTCAGACCTCGTTTATCCGGTCCTCGTTTATCCGGATCCCTCGCCATCCGGAAGAAAATCGCTGGTTACCGATGTGCAGCACATGTTATGCATACAACATAACCGGACCTCGCGATCCGCATACCGGTGCATGATTTTGTGTACAAACTGGTTAAAATGTGTACAAAAAGCTTCGTCGTATCCGGTTGCATGTGGCTGGCTAGCGCTTGCAGAAGCTAGTATCAAGGAGTTGTACAAGCAAATGAGGTCCTTGACCTGCTGGGTGTGTGCGGACAGCACTCAGTTGCATGCACTTGTCATTTTTCTCGCTTGTTTTACATACTGGGCACGCTAGTTGTACTGCATAGGACCTGTCTACATGTATGTATGATGTCACTGCTTTTGACATGCCACATGCATGTACAGTATGTGTGTTCAGTTATCCGGTTACCTCGCCTATCCGGATGTTTTTGTGGAAAACAGATGTGTGCGGTTAAGCGAGGTCTGGCTGTACACTGCAACACTGAACCTTGCAAAACTAAATTTCCGGCCAAACATGACCAGGCCGAAAATGGCCGAAAATAAATATGCGCCGAATATTTGTTCACTGACAGTACACATGTTAGTGCACAACATACACGCACACACACACACACACACACACACACACACACGCATGCACACACACACACACACGCATACACACACACACACACACACGTGCACACACATCACACACGCAGACACACGTGCACACACACTTTCTAACTTCCAGTGACCAACATAGGAGGCTTCTTGGGGGATATGCAAGAGGCGTGTCTTCTATCTAAAAAAAAAACTTTATACCCCTGTCCTGTTTCCCAACCGCTATGGCCTAGTTCTTGGAAACTGCCAGTAGACTATGTCAGCGGGGCTTCTACACAACTCTGGGATATATATTTGCCAAAAAGTCTTTTCCACTGGGCCTTTAAATGCAGGGGGGTGTTTTATTGAGCTGATTTTTCCCAGAAGTATTGCCTCCAAATTGACCCCGCAAACAGCAGCAGCAGCAGTAGCAACAGACGCACCAACAGCAGCAGCAGCACCAACAGCAGCAGCAGCACCAAAAGCACCAGCACCAGCGCCATTAATTAACAAGAGAGTTTGGAAGCTCAGGGCCCTACGCTATGCTTTTTTGCCTTGCTCATCATGCATGTTATTAGAACTGATGGAAATGTTTATTCCATTGATTGGCAATTAATAACTAGCACTATCAGCCGTATTCTGGCAGCAGCAATGTAACAGCAGTGTGACAATGTGACAATGACGTACCAGATAATCATCTGAGTGTACAGCAGGTCCAGTACACTCCTGACTAAGGGGAAGTTTGGTGGACCAATGGTCTTGGCGTACCACGCAGACTTGCGGTACAGAAAGCTGCACACCGGCATTGACACAAGACAGAACAACACAAAACACAACAACTTTCTCTCATCGGCCACATGCCATCGTGAAAATAAAAGATTTAAAATAAAATTAAAATAAACACACACACAGTCACACACCAGACACGCCATCGCTTAAAAAATTCACAGCCGATGTCGCAACATCTTTCAGCTAAATTTCGTTACCACTTTATCCGATACCCGTACGTGTACCTGCATTTCTACTGATCTTATTGGCCGCAGCAAGCCATCGTGAGGATAAAATATTTCAAATCCCAGACACACCACAAGGAGTTGCTTATGTTGTGTGTGCACCAGACACTGTCATCCGGCTTGGCGTCGGTCAAGAAAACTCCCAGATAGGAAAAACGACTTCGGGGATGAGTACAAATTGCAGAACTACCCAATGTTGTCAGTGTGGTGTCACACTCCAAAGTGTCTTTGTCTAGTCGTCACTCGTGTGCACAAGGGTGTGTGTGTGTGTGTGTGTGTGTGTGTGTGTGTGTGTGTGTGTGTGTGTGTGTGTGTGTGCGTGCGTGTGTGTGCGTGCGTGTGTGTGCGTGTGTGTGTGTGTGGGCATGTACTTGTGTACATGCATCGTTGTATAGGAGCATGCACGACAACATAGCCGAGTGTCGTCTCGTCACGCTGTGTTAGAAAAACTTAGAATAGAAGCACTCACCACTGCCCCAGACCGTCTCCCCATGTGGCAATGAGCACAATAAGAAAATTGAGCACTGCAAGCTGGTAGAATTCCTGACCTACCGATAACTCCCAGCACTGCAGCAGAGTAAACACACATACACACACGCACGCACATGCGCACGTGCGCGCACACACACACACATACACACACATACAAACACACACACACACATATATATATATATGTGTGTATAAGCGAGGGTCCCTGGTTCGAGTCCTGGTGGTGACAGTCAATTTTTTCTTCAGACTTTTCCCGTTTGTCACTTTCCCTCAAACCAGTTAATATATATATATATAGCAGACTCAGCGGAGGACGTTCAGGTTGGTTGTAACTCTGAGTTTCATGTCGCTAGGCAATCATCAGACAACTGATACTCGGGTCTACCCAACAGTATGCTTATAAACATAGAGCCACAAGCATAAACAAATTTAGCGCTAAATCGGGTGTGAGGTATGGGGAGAAAGCTGGCGCGGGCCAAGGCGCGACAGGGGGAAGTGCCAGGATGGTGGCGGGGAACAGGCAGGTGTGAGCATGAAAGCGCGGAAAGAGGCGATGGGGAGGCAGTGTACAGCAGATGGGTGGAGGTGCCAGGAGGGTGGCGGGCAATGGGCCAGCGAGATCGCTACAAGTAGGGAGTCGTTTGGTGACGGGCAGGCGTGAGCAGAGTGGCATCGCCGACTACAGGCCAAGGGATTTTGTTATTAATAATAATGGGTGCTCAGGCAAAGTGCAGTACAGTACTTGGTCAGTTCATTTGATAGGTGTGAAATTTGCGAGGCGGAACTTATTCTCGTGCCTGCATTTCGAGACCATCTCAGACCGCTTGTTGAGTAGGAGCTTCTTGGGTGTAGTCAGGATGTGGAATTTTTCCGCGGTACAAAGATTGCATTTTTTTTTTTTTTTTTTTATATATATATATATATGCACATGCACATGCACATGCACATGCACACGCACACGCACACGCACACGCACACGCACACACACACACACACACACACCAGTGGCGTGTCCAGGATTTGGCTGAGGGGGGGTTGCGGCCGGGATCAAGGCGGGATGGGGTGGGGGTAGATGACATCATGCTACTGTCCCAGGTCATTTTGAAAACCGATGTCAAGAAGCTCCTCCTGTAGCCCCCTTCTTCAACAGTTATTCACCCGAACGGCCCCAGAGACTGTTGCGGAGGATCAGCGCACCACACGGGGACAAGTGTCGAACTTGCTTCAAGTTCCCTTTCTTCGTGGGCCTGCGGGACGATCGACCATGATGTTTCGGGGAAGCATTCTCTGGAACGCTCTCCCCTCTGATTTTAGAGTGATACGTGTCCCTGGTCCCTTCCGAAAAGCTCTTTCTGCCATTGGTATACTTACTTTGTGAATATCCTCGTTAAACTTTTATTATCTGCCATAAATTCCAACCTTCTCATCTATCACATTTGTGCATGCATGTCTATAAAATCAACCACGTGTTCCTGACTCCATGAGATTGTCTTTCTATTCTTTGACTCCATGAAATTATTGTCTTTCTATTTCTGACTCCATGAAATTGTCTTCATATAAATTTTTCCTTTTCTTCTTTTGGTCCTTTCTGTCTTATAATTATTATAGTATCATTTCTTGTTTTCCCTTGCATATCATCCCTTCATCATTCTGTGAGAACCTGTCCTATGGGCAGGTGAGAAGGCATCTCTGCCTGCTCATTTGGTGAAGTAAAATAAACAACAACAACAAGCCGTAAATCTCACACACCACGAGCAGTATTTCTGTACACGCAGCAACAATGTACATTGTAAACTTCAAATTTGCCGTTAGGTGAGCGAATCAACTGCAATTATTTATGCGAGTCCAACAATTTCTCACCGCTCTCAAAGAGTCAAAGCATCCTTTACATAGGCAGCGGTACTTGTCACTGTGCGCTGTTCTTCATGTTCTGGCTACTCCCTGACAACAGATTCTTCCGCGTCTGGCGGAGTGTGACTGTCAGTCCGCTTCGAAAGTTCAACTGGAATAACAGCGACTTCATCACTCCCACTGTTTCCTGTTGGAGCGGCAGCAGGAGTTGCGCCGCCACAGGAACGCTTTACAAAAATTCCAGGCTCTGCTGGCTAGAGCTTGGCCTTTTGGGATGTCCCTGAGACATCGAAGAAAAGCCTTCGAGTCAACCAAAACACGATTCGAACGAGGATGATCGCCTGAGCCCTCGGCATTCGAATCGTGTTTTGGTTGACTCGATCGAAGACTTTTCTTCGATGTTTGTACCGTTGAAGACGCGTCGAGCGCGTCCCAGCAGGGATCACACTGTACAACAGTACACAGTCAGGTCACCGTGTTTCTGTAGCCGCGCCGTGCATGCTCACTGTACGTAGACTCGTACTCAAAAGACTGTACTGTACTACTAGTCTGTAGTGTGTACAATCAACACCAGCTCGACCGTGCAACCGCTTTTGGACAATCGTTTCAGGCCGCGCGCGCCCCGACGAGCCTAGTCTACAATGTACATGTAGCTCGATCGACCTGGCGCCCTAGCGCCCTGCCTATTATTTTTCGAAACCTAGGTCGAAATTTTTGAGGAGGGGGCGCGCGCCCCCCGCCCCCCCCCCCCCCCCCCTAAACCCGCCACTGCACACACACGCACGCACGCACGCACGCACGCACACACGCACGCACGCACGCACACACACACACACACACACACACACACACACACACACACATACAAACACACACACACACAGCAGAGCAGAACACGCAGAACGAGTGCTATGTATATTTATTAGATGTCAGGTGACTGTTACTGGGGTTACTAGGGTTATGACTCAACTGCGCCTAGACTGTAATACATGAAAATGAGAATGGTCTAGCGCTAGGAGGCTGATCCCCCCCCCCCCCCCCCCCCCCCTCTCCCCAGTTCTTCGTTGCCCGACAGTACCGTAATTGTTTTAGCCCAGCTACAAGTAAGTGCATTGTTTCGTAAGTCTTACCACAGACGTCACACACGGCACGACCAGTACGACCATGGTCCTACCACTTTTCAACCAGGATGGTCCACCCAGAGCGCCTGTAGAGCGCTAAAACGTGCCCTGGTGGCCGAAAATCTGATTTTTTCCTCCGGGGGAGACCCTGGTGCCCTGACACCCTGGTACCCTGGGACCCTGACACCCTGGTACCCTGATACCTTGGTACCCTGGGACCCCGAGACCCCGGTGCTACAACTCAGCTTCTTCTTCATAAGCTGTTGACGGAGACTCCCTCGATTTAGGCTAAGGCCTGTGGAGAATCCATTAAAATACAAAATACAAATACAAATACCAGTCCCCATTGCCCTGTGATGTCCCTGCTTACACCACATTCCGGCGAGTCCTTGATGTTCTTCGTATGACAGTCCTTGAGACGCAGGAATAAGGACACAATCACCACGCCAATAGAGGCTAATCGGATAGCCACCGTTCTGTCAAGGGTAGAATGGTGGAACACACGCAAGCATGTACACGCATGCATACACACACACATGCACACACACGCACACACACACACACACACACACACGCACACGCACACGCACACGCACACGCACCCGCACACACACACACACACACACACACACACACACACACGCACACACACACACACACACAGAGTTGTGAACATATGAAAGCACACATGAAACGCACAAGCACGCACAAACAGACAGGATAGAATGACTAAAGGAAACCCCGAAGAAGAGTCGCTTCCAACCCCAACTTCACAATCATGTTCTTTGATAGTACATTGCAGTGATAAGTGCATTGCAGTTCACTATTGCTTTGCTCAAGGAAATCTGACCGCACTAGCCACTGAAATACATGCAATCACTCACACATCCACACATCCACACATCCACACCCATACGCCCACACGCCCACACACCCACACGCACGCGACCATGCACGCGCGAGCATGCACGCGAACACACCCACACACGCACACCTACCCACGCACATGCACACACACACACACACACACACACACACACACACACACGCACACGCACACACACACAGGAACACAAACACACACACACACACACACACACACAGGAACACACACACACACAAACACACACACAGGAACATGCACACACACACACACACACACACACACACACACACGCACACACGCACACACCTTTGACCTTTGACGCCCATCGCCGGAGGCGATGATAGCAATGCTACGGCAGAAGCCATAGCAACTTGTGCTGGGATCACACCATTCAACAGCTTGCAAGGCTGAAGAATTGACCGTCACTATTCAGCCTGGTCTACACCATACAGCTATTTGGAGTGACATTTTCTGGCCAGTGAATCCCTTTTTTTTGGTCTTTTTCATTTTTTTCATTTTTTTCTTTTTTGCCCGCACACACATCACACCACATACTCCGGCATGCACTGGCTGTTGGTAACCACCCAGGAGAATGAAAGAAAAGTCAGGAAGAGTCTGAGAAAGAGAAGAAAGACGTGTGTGACCATAATCGTCGGGAATCGAACCCGCAATCTATCGATTGGAAATCGCTGCACATACCACTGCACCATATGGGACACACACACACACACACACACACACACACACACACACGCACACACGCACACACACACATACACACATACACACACACACGCACATACACACACAGGAACACGTACACGTACGCGCGCACACACACACACACACACACACACACACACAGGAACACACACACACACAGGAATACACACGCACACACACACACACACACACACAAACACACACACACACACACACACACACACACACACACACACACACACACACATGTGCAGACATTACCTTATGAGTGTATATTTAACCTCCTGGCTGGGTGTTCTCCACTTCTCATAGCTAGTAATGGCTTCAAACACGATCGGCAGGACGGCGTTGAACGCAGCAATCGTCAGTGACGATGCCAGAGACTTGGCGTAGTAAAGGAATTTCTCCGACGTAGGACGATTGGACTGAAGGCAAGAAAATCGAAAAATAGCATGGGATAGCGTGGGATAGCATGGGATATCAATATCTATGAAGTTGTGAACGGTGTGTGTGTGTGTGTGTGTGTGTGTGTGTGTGTGTGTGTGTGTGTGTGTGTGTGTGTGTGTGTGTGTGTGTGTGTTTACGTAACTGTCTTGGCCGTTTTATGCCGATGTACTCCAAGTGGTGTAGACCAGGTGTGCATTGGTGATCGATTGACATGGCTTCGCCAGTTGTGTGGATTAGACAGTTATCTGGCGCAAGTCTTGATCTGTCTCATTCAGATCTTGTTCGCTATCGTTGCTATAAGAGAAAATCTGTGGGTGCACATCCAGTGCATTTGCAGATTTGCGTGCTTCTCTTGCGACGGGCGTATACATGGTACATGGTACATGGTGTTTACGTGTGTACGTGTGTGTGTGTGTGTGTTTACGTGTGTACGTGTGTGTCAGTGTGTATCGCACAGAGACACGTAGCTAATCTACAGTCAGCATTGTCCGGTCACCACGCCAGCATATGGCCAGCGTCATATGTACTGCATAGTCAAAATAGACAAACTAGTAACTATGAGGTTACCAGTGGCACATGGCCACAACCAGGGAGTCGTACACGGATTCATACCGTATGTCAGCGCCTTTATAGCCATGGCCTTATAATAGAAACACCGCTGCTTTCCTAGCTATTTAGATGCAAAATGACTCACCCACTACGCCATGCCATAAAAGTCAAAGTCCACGCAGAAATTTCAATCTAAATCTACTTGTTCACCCTTCCTGCTGGGCTGTAAGTTTGTTAGCATAGTACATATGCCTTCATTTTTGCAAAACATACTCCAAATGTCATTTCATTTATGAAGGACATGGCTTTATAACTGAGACTGGCTTTATAATCGAATATACCGCCATGGCTTTAAAGGTGCGGACATACGGTACAACTCCCTGGTCACCACAACACCGATGTCCGAGCTACACACATGGCACACTGTTCCATCTCAGTTGACCCATCGCAAGCACAAAGTCGACAATGACAGACTGGCCGTCATACCACCAGCGGAGATTACATTACTTTGTGGCATAAAACTGCTCCACGACAACATTCATAAATTTGAGGGAAAGACACAAACGGGAAGTGTCTGAAGAAAACATTGACGGTCGCCACCAGGACTCGAACCAGGAACCTTCGCTTGAGGCCAGCGATGCTCTAACCGCTGAGCTACGTACATCAACATTCGTTTCCAGTTGAATTTTGAGCCGTCGTTGGGATGAGTTGAACACACAAATACACACGCTCACAGCATTGTCAACGCCAGCACATTGTTGCTACCGCACTCTCCGGAGTATAAGCCGCACTTCAAACAGTCATAATTCACCCAAAATGTCGGTGCGGCTAATGACTACGACCGTCGAACGGACCGTGAAATACAGGGTAGACGTATGTATTTTCGTGACAAAAATTTATCTCCGCAATCTACGGGCACAATAGATGATGCGCCCGCCGACTTGGATTCTCGCTTGACGTATCGCCGAAGTGGCACTAACCTCTTCTTCACACAATAGATGATATGCCAAATAACCTGCAACTAGACTTGGGAGGGCATTGCAGAGTATTTGCTGTTAAGTTACCCATGACTTGTGCTCCTGCAGAGCTCAGGGCCAACGGTGTACACATGTAGTATGATACTCAATCTGCGGACAGAACTGTTTCGTCCTTTGTGGACTCGTCAGCGCAGCACAGAGGAAATGAGGCCGAACCTGATAGCTAAAAATTTCCAATCAGGCCCGAACGTACCCTGCCAGGGTGCTCAAACTGACAAGTCAGTGAGCTCTGCATAACGCAAACAGCAAAGGCACTACCCCACGCAAGAGTAGTATGATAGATATGCAACTGGTGTGCAATGCCCTCCCAAGTCAAGTGCATGTTGTTTGGCATATCATCTATTGCCTTGACCAGTATCTTGCCATAGCTTACCTTTAGTTCGAGCGTGGTCGTCGAGGCAGCGATTGACACATTGGTTGCCAGGTAGATGCAGTAAGCGGCGCCTGCTAGCATTCCTGCTATGAGGATGTTGACCAGCAATCGTCTGTGATACAGAAAAAACCTTTCGAGCCAGGATTTCTTCTGCCGTAGTGACCGCTCGTCACCAATGCATTCCTGGAGTGGTCAGGGGGCAAACACAAATATAGACACAGACACATGCACACACACATGCACATACACACACACATGCACATACACATACACATGTCCATAAACACACACACACACACACACACACACACACATACACACACACACACACACACACGCACACCATTGGACCAATGGACGCCCATCGCCGGAGGCGATGATAGTGATGCTACAGCAGAAGCCATAGCAACTTGTGCTGGGATTGCACCATTCATCAGCTTGCAAGGCTGAAGAATTGACCGCCACTATTCAGCCTGGTCTACACCACATAGCTATGAAGTGGCTTTTTTCTGGCCAGTGAATCCCTATTTTTGGTCTTTTCATTTTTTTTATTTTTCCCGCACACACATCACACCACATACTCCGGCATGCACACACACACACACACACACACACACACACACACACACACACGTACGCACGCGCAAACACACACACATGCACATACACACATACACACACACACACACACACACACACACACACACACACACACATGTTGATACAAACAGGGAGCATTTGTGCTCCGTCGCGTACGCTTGACATTGCTTCACGGACACGAATAATGAGACAGATGTTAAATTAATGATCAAGCCCAGTGCATGTTCAACACAACCTTAGCTCAATGGCCCAAAGCAGCAGAGAAAAGGTAGATTGCCGTCAAATTCAGTAAAACCTGTAACTAACGACCACGCCTTGGGGCCAAAGAAACGGTCTTCAGTGGCACGTGGTCCTTAGTCAGAGGTTTGCACCGCACAACAATATTATGAATGTGAGACCGTCCGTGCCTGGCGAAGTGGTCTGTAGTACCAGGCTGGTTGCTAGTCACGGTGGTCTTTAGTTACAGCAGGGGCGTCGCACACGGTACGGTCACTACGGTATTGACCGTACCACTCTTTGCCCCAAGTACCCCGTGAATCAATAAAATGCACTGATTTGGGCTCTGAATTTCCAAAATTGTCGGCTCAGCCACCCTTCCCCCATGAGTACATTGTACTTCAGCTGACTGACCGTACCACACTAAAATACCTTCCGACGCCCCTGCACAGGTTTTACTGTACAAATTGACCAACAAATGAAGTGACAGACGGATGGATGTATGCCGGCCTAGCAGATGGATAAGTAGGTGGGTGGACAAGTGGGCCAAGTTGGGCAGGCAAACAAAGGGAAACATGCACAGACGAACTGAGAGGTCGGTTGAGAGATATGCAGACGCACTGACAGACAGATAGAGAGACAGACATATAGACAGACAGATGGACAGACAGACAGACAGACAGACAGACAGACAGACAGACACAGACACACACAGAGACAGCCACAGAGACACACAGACAGGCAGACATACATGCAGGAAGACAGACAGACAGACAAATAGACAGAAAAAATCAGACAGAGACAGACATACACACACACGGGCAGCCGATCAGCTGCATGTACCTCTAGCTCTCGAGATGTAGCGATAGCCTTAAGCTTTGCCGTCTCGCTGTTTGTTATGCCGAAGTTCCACGCACTAAAGACCTTATCCGTGTACTGGTAAGCGGTGTTCAACTTCTGCAGCTGCTGATGATGGTGTGACTTACCAATGCTGATAAAAAGACAGAATGAGTAGAAGAAAAGGTGTCAGCACCGACGCAATCCACACAGTCAAGTAAGCCAATTTAGCAACCGAACATTTCCGTTCCCTTCTCACCATGGGTAAACACAGGGAATAATGGAAAAATGTCAAATACAGTAACTTCTATAGAGCTACAGCAGAAGCATAGATCGAACACCTCACACTATACGTGTGGAAAAATTAGTAGGAGGAAAATTTCCTTTTGCCAGCGGAGAGGGCTCAACACAATAACAACAACAAATCGCCTGATGGTTGCATTGTACAAGAAACCCAGAGTTGCGACGAACTCTGTTGTTATGTCCCCTTGCGGACTCTAACATACCATTACATTCATGCATTCCCACTGGCACTCACAAACACTAGCATTTGGAAGGCATTACTCTTGGTCAGGTAAAGCAACAACAACAACAATATATCACCCTCAGGAATAGTCCGCTTACCGTAGCACAAAAACACAAACACCTCGGAATAATCTTTCAGCATGACCTCCGTTGAACGGAGCATGTTGAATACATAGTCAAAAAATCACTCAAGTCTTTCAATATTCTTTTTAGACTAAGATCTACACTCACCAGTGATTCTTTATCTCACATCTATCAGACATACATACTACCTATATTCTCATATGCGAGCAATGCTCTCACACCGTTGTCCCACACTTCCCTTGACAGGCTAGAACGACTCCAGCGGAAAGCCGCCAGAATATGTCTCCACCTTCCCCTTTACACACACTTAGAACACTCCCACCTTTTGCTTCGCATCAAATGGCCAACATTATTTTCACGCTTTAAAGTTAAACATATACTCTTCGCGCATTCTCTGCGCCACAATTATGCCCCACCACATATACTCTCGCTGCATACTGCTAGCAACGTGCAACCTTCGTATAATTTACGTCGCTCTCGTACTTGGCACTTGCCAACTCCGCGGACTGACCGCTGGCTCCATTCTCCCCTGTACAAGGCCCTTCATTACTTTAATTGCCTGCCCACCCAGCTTCGCGAAATCCCTTCTCGTACTCCCTTCAAATCCGAGATATCCCTGCTGTTGCACAACTCTGTATGCTCGTGTAGCGACCACCCCTGCCCGTACACTTAAGTACACAACTCTGTATGCTCGTGTGGCGACCACCCCTGCCCGTACACTTAAGTAGTCATTAACCCCTAGGCCCTGCCCACCCAATTCTTCCTCACTCTTTCTCCTTTCTTACACTATTATCTCTTATTGGCCACTGGCTATCGTGAGAATAAAGATTTGAAATATGCGAGCATGCGCAATACAGTAGCAAACGGTGAAGTAGATATATTATGACTAACTTGCATACACAACAACTGTAAACCTCCTTTGTGCACTTTGTGTGTACTGAGAAAAAGCATAGCAGACTGAGCGGAGGATGTTCCATGTCCTAAGCTCTATCTATGACATTGAGCACTCAGGGGCGCGTCTGACACGGTGCGGGCACTACAGTATTGACCGTACCACCCTTTGCCCCAAGGTACCCTGAGAATAAACAAAATACACTCATCTGGGCTCTAAATTCCCCCCCCCCCCCCCACACACACACACAAGTAAATTGTACTTCAGATGGCTGACCGTACCACACTAAAATACCTTCCGACGCCCCTGGCACTCACTGCAGCCCGGAGATCAACGGATTCGTAATGAGTAGAAGCAATACAACTACATGTATGGTTCTCTTGACATGCGGTGTACATGACACCATACTGGCACAGGTGTGCGGACATTGAAATCCAGTGGAGTGCAGGGGTTGCAGGGGCATAGGAGGGGTTTTGGAAGTGGTACGACGAAAGGTCGGTGCGGCCGAAGGCCGTGTTGGAGGGACATCCCGCGGGAAAATTTTGTAAAAAAGACACAAAATCCTGCGTTCTGGGAACTTCGGGCACACTTCTGGCGCAGTGTGCAGTCAAGTCGAGTACAGTACTCAGTACGACTACAGATACATAACAGATCTACAAGTATGAGTTTAGAAACAGGTCAAAGTCTGACATGATGCGCATATGCATCGATGGATCCTGGGTTTTTTTATTACGGTTTTGCACGTTCCGGGCAGACCACACTTTTGGAAAAGTGGTACGGCCATGGTCGTACCAGTCATAGCGGGTGCTACGCGCCTGGGTTGACTGGAGTTGGAACCCACATGGCTACTCTGTAGGGTCAGGAGGCTGATGCGAAAACCACTCTACATAGAAGACATGGAGCAGTGGGGTGGGGGGAAGGAGACAGGAACAACCCATCACCCGAACGCCAATAGAGAGTAAATACTGGAGTTGACTGGAGTTGGAGCCAACATAGATGTCCTTTTACGGTCATGAGACTGATGTGAAACCACACTGGGGATGGGGGGGGGGAGGAGAGGGGAATGGCGGAGGAGACAAGAACGATGATCACCCAAACACCAATAGAGAGTAAATACTTACCTCCATAGCACCCAGATGAAGGAGACCAGAAGGACCGTGAACCCGACAAGCAGGTAGGCTGTTGACATGTCGTAACTGCCCGCCTCCAGATAGCTCTTGTAGATACCGTAGTAGACAACGGACTGACGAAGAGCACCCTACGCAAGGAAAGTAGAGTGCGAATAGTTTACAACCAGGTCAAGATAATAATTATGTCATACTCAATCTGCGGCTAGAACTGTTTCGGCCTTTGTGGTCTCATCAGAGCAGCACAGAGAAAATGAGGCTGAACCGGATAGCAATGAATATAAATTTTCCAAAGCCAGATTTATATCATAGAGATTGAGCAAATATGTCGCACTTTAAACACCGGTAATCCACCCACAAAAAAGTCGGCGCAACTTTGGCAGCCGGTCCGGCTTTGGCCGGACCACGTTTTCGCCCAGAAGTGCCCAGAATACAGGATTTTGCACCCTGATTTCAAAAATTTCAAGGGGGAGCACGTGAGA